GTGCTGCATTCAGACAGCTACAAAAGATAGCAAGAAAAATAAATCTTAGTTTTGCTCTGTTTCTTTACTTCCACCTCCCCATGAGCAAGAAAAGAAAGACAAAAAGAAAAAATGTTAAAAAAACCATTGCAATATACGCTGTTTAGCCTGAATATCATGTTATAAAGGAATCTGTAGCACACTTAAAAGGTAGTAGTTGCAAATCAGAAGTTATGAGGAGGTTTTTCTTCTGAAATATTCTTTGACTTGATTTGATAGCCTTATTGTGTTCTCATTATAGGCCATTCTTTGGAGAAATACAGAATTGTAGGTGATCAAGGTGGGTTTGTCAGGAATAAACTCAAACTCATTTGCACTTTTTTTGTTGCCTTTTAATGAAATCAAGGAGAAAAAAAAAAGGCAGGAAAAAAACCTAACAATTATGTGACCACATTTAATTAAAAATATCTTTGTTTATAGGGAGTAATAAAATAGTTGACAAATTCTTCAGATGTGTTGCTATAAAAATTCATACCTTGTGCTATAAAATATCAGGGCTCCCACCATTCTAATTTGCAAATCACCAGCCACTCACCGAAACCATATACCTGAAACCACATCTAGCCCAGCAGAATAACAGTGTGTCTTGAAATTATTATACTAGGAGGTACAGAACTTTACATCTTCAAAGATGCTACAGAAGGCCCAAAAATGATAGCAATTTGCATCACAGGTTTCAATTGCTTCATGAAGATGATTTTTTCACTGTTGAATCCTTGAGCTTCTCTGTTTCTAAAGTTGTTTGGTGTCCTGGGTTCCGCAGTAGCAGTCATGTTTTTCCTTTGTGTTAACTGGTGCAGTGCAGTGTTGTGACTTTCAGCTCGGGAACAGAGCTGATAATAAGGATATTTTGGTTTGGCCAAGGACTTTGTGAGGCTCATGCTCTGCCAGGGAGGAGGGGAGGCTGTGAGGAAGCAAAGACGGGGCGCCTGACCCAGGCTAGCCAGGGAGGTATTCCATACCACAGCACGTCATGCCCGGGGTGAGGGGTAACTGGGAGTTATCCGGAAGGACAGGTGCTTCCAGGTGGAACTTGTTTTCTTGGCCGGTGGTATCGTATTCTCTTCCCTTGTTATTTTCCCTTATCATTGTTTTAGCTGATAGTAGCGGTGGTGATTTGTTGCTGGACTGTTTTTGTCTCAACCCGTAGGAGTTGCACTCTCTCGATCCTCCTCCCCGTTCCTCTGGGAGCGGGGAAGGGGAGAGCCCCGGTGCGGGGAGGCGGGGGGGGGAGACGGACACGGACCTCGATTGTTGTCAGCTCGGCACCACTCACTGGGAGTGAGTGAACAAGCTACCTGACTGGGTTTAAACCACGACAGTTCGCCCTTAGTTTCAGTGAGTGTTTCTTTATGAGGATAGACCATATTGTCTTAAGAGTTTCATACCATACCATACATGCTCATTTAAAATAAGGGTTTATATAATGCAGTGACCTTATTCCCAAATCAAACTTCTGCATTCATGGAAGTGTCTGTCCTGTATTTGTAGCATTGTGTGATGTGCACAGCATTCATTGTGGTTACAAAAAAAAAGATATTCCCAGATGAACAGATAAAAAGAAAAATGACAAGATGTGCCATTAATACCATGGTGTTTGTAAAACATTTCATTTGATTAATTTTTTTTCAGTTAGCTGGTTCTTCTGTTTAAAACAGCAGAACCTGAGGATGAATATATGTGAAAAGAGGAAGAATTACTTTTGTAGGGAAGGTGCTCTGTGTAAAACAGGCCAGCATTAGGCCAGTACTGTATGATCAATACAGAAAGTTAACTTTGGTTTACTTAATTGAGTTTTGCATTTCTGCATGATTCAAACTGCTTCCAGGAGTTACTGAGGCTGAGATGTATTGCCCTTGTAGTGGTGTCAAAACTTTGCTGAACATAGGGCTCTCGTCTGTACGTTGCTTCCCTTTCAGGTATACCTTGTCCTGAGACAGATGATTTACAGCCCCTAATCTGTTCAGAAGCTGATACTTTTGTGTGTGTATGCATGTAATGTTTGCATATGTGCATGTGCCTGTGACCTTAGTCCAGTGAGGACAGTCAGAGCAGCTATTCTGATTAAACTCCAGCTGACAGTGTGTAACCTGATGATAGTCATTAACTCAAAGACTATCCCATTCCACCAGATTAGCAGCTGTGTGAGTTCCAGCCCAGCTTTCTTAGTGTCTGAATACTAGGAAACAATAGAAATAGTCTGATATAATAGTTCATAAATTTAGCCTCCAAAACTAATAAAAATAAACCAAACTTGCCACAGAAAACATTTCTACGCTTTGACCTCTTCTTTTTTAATAGTAAACTGGTCACTGGTTTCTGACAAATAACTTTAATTTCCTATGGGGAGCATTATTGATTATCAGTCAGGGGACAGAGAAGTAAAATATGTGATTTATCCATCTTGTTCCAAATTATTATTTATTCCCATTAATGCTGCAAATTTCTCCGTGGTTCTTCCCATAACTCACAGGTAGATGCCAGGCTGGTGACAGAATTTCTTGAAAGACTATTATGCGGTTGTACTATGGTTTTGTCCTGGTGGAACGCTTCGCAGTTGTACTGTAGTGAAAAATTGCATAGTCAGCATTTGTCATCCAGCTGGCCGTTGCCAGGAGAATGGTTCTGAGACTGGAAATCCTATCAGCAGCTGTATTGATGCTTTTTATTTTAATGATTTCCTGCAAACATGAGAAGATCACACCAGGAAACTAATATATTATTATGTACTCTGTGGTACATGCTCTTACAGTAAAATAGTTGAGAAAGGTTCAAGTTCACAAACACAGCATGTGAATGTCATTCATCCTGGATGTCAGTAAATCTTTAGGAGACAGGCACATCTCTGGGAGGCAGGTTGGTGATGGGATTGTAAAAGGAGCAGAGAGAGTAAAAGGCTTCTGCTGCTGCACAAATGAAGAGGTTTCTAGCAAGGCAGTTTTGGGGCCTGGGTGTTGGATGCAATAGCAGATGCATGGTGGTAAGTGTTTCTGGCCTGTGTGGCTCTGAGACTCATTATGCTGGGTCTTCAAGCAGCTAATATGAAAGTTGTTGCACAGCAGCAAATATTCCATTTCCAGTAACTGGTGGAAGAGCAGAAACTCGCACTTAGCAACCAAGATGAAGTCTTGGTTTTATAGCTAAAGTGTGTTCAGGCCACATTCACCCTTGACGGAGCTCTGCACTGGAATACTCGTGGTCTGGCAGTCAGTCTGAGTTGTTCTGTTTGTCAGACATGCCAGGGCAGGTTGTTTTTGTTGTTGTTGTTAGTGGGTTTTGTTGTTGTTTTGTTTTGTTTGTTTTAATTTTATAATTATTCCATTAGGAATGGATGAAATTGTCTGTTTTGTCTGGAAGCAGGAGGGCAACTGTTAATCTGAAACCAGACTAATGTGTTAAGCACAGAATAAAACGTAGGGGTGTCTGCCCAATCAAGACAGAATATGTGAATGTCTCAGACATCTCACCACCCGTACATGTATTTATATAGATCCGAAAATAGCTAGTTTCCTGATAATTTGAGGACTGGTTAAGCATGAGGCTTACACTTTCTATTCCATGCAGACATGTTTAAAATAAATATATAGCAGTTCTGAATGAATGTGAGTTATTATGGGGAAAGGCAACTTGTGAGATAGTGTGTGCTGTAGACAGCAGTGCGTTGTAGTGTAGTCCAGAACAAAACCCGCAATGTGTTCAGAGAGAGGCCAATAATAAGATGGAAAGTTGTTCTGACAGTTTGACAGTATCACTGGGTGTTTGTAATACATGCAGTACTTTCTGTTGCTCTATATTTTGTTGGTTTTAGGTGCTTGCAATATATCCATTATCAATTTATGTTCTAGTGACCTCTCCTGGAAAAAAGAAATAATCTTAAGGAGTAGGTTCTTAAAAGACTTAATCCCTTTCTATTTGTGTAGCCTGAGTGAACAGCTACTATAGCTGAATAGTGCCTGCCCTGAGGAGGATTCTTGAATTGCTCTGCATTAGTCTAGGAAAGTGTGCCTGTTTTCTGCCTGACTTTTTTTGCCCCAGGAGAAGACTGAGAGAACAATGGTTGTCAGTCTCCCAGAGGATAGTCAGTTGGCACAGTTAAGGCTTTCCTGTAGTACTGCTGTTATCAACAGAACATAAAAATAAAATCAGATCATTTGACCATATGATTAGCATTCCTGTTGAACTCTAGGTGACCTTCATCTTCTGGCTCTTTAGAGAGCTCCAGTGTTTCTCACTTAAGAAAAATATGTTCGTTAGTGTTAAAGTTTTTCTTTTGATGCTGAAATAACTGCTGTGTGGTTTGCTCATAGGGTTTTAATGGGCTTCATTGGGGCAGACAAGAAGAGAAGCTTTTGATTGATCATCAAGACACACTGGATAACCAAATATGTAATATCCAGATGAAATTTAGCCATATAATCTTTAATTTCTGTTGCTTGGTGAAATACTTCTTCTGTTATCTTTCACCCTATCAGTATATTGCAATATTGAGAGGAAATACTTGTACTTGTGTAAACAAGTAGGAACTTCTGAATTGAAATAAAATCATAATCTTATATTGTGTAAGTTTTGCAACTTCCTTGTGGGATTCAGACAGTTGTTTATGGATTTAGGCTGCATTTTTTGACTTTTTTTAGGTTTGCAAGGCTTCTCTGTGTAAATGGAAGCTCACTGCAACCGTAACTGCTAGTTGATGGTAGGGAGTCATAATGAAGAGTTTCGACAATGAAGGAACTATAACTTGCATTTAGTTCACAGCTTAAGAAGTCAATTTTTATGCATAAATTAAGTTCTTTCTGCCTGTCAAGATTCTTGAGGACCAAAGAGAACTGAGGATGTACTACATGACTATTTCCATTTTATGACTTTTTTGGTTGGTTGTTTGCAGTTGACTCATAGTATCTTCATTGCTGTAACATGAGCTATTATAAAACTGCTGTAACTTTTTCCTTCAACCCTGTCAGCATGTGACAGTGACCACTGGGGACCTCACTGCAGCAGCCGCTGCCAGTGCAAGAATGGAGCGTTGTGCAACCCCATCACTGGAGCCTGCCACTGTGCATCAGGTTTCAAAGGTTGGCGTTGCGAGGAGCGCTGTGATCAAGGAACATATGGAAATGACTGCCATCAAAGATGTCAGTGTCAAAATGGAGCCACCTGTGACCACGTGACTGGAGAGTGCAGATGTCCTCCTGGATACACTGGTGCCTTGTGAGCATTGGTATATTATTTATGGGGAAAGATGCAAGTCCTAAATAGTGCTAACGAGAGAAATTAAGTTTAGATTAACTTAATACTCCGCTGTCAGTTTGGCTGCTGCGTATTGCAGGGAAGTGGGACTGGTGGCTAAGAAGCGGTTGGGCAAACTGTGTTGCAGTGCATATTCAGATGTGTAGCTGAAAGCCCTATTAATCTGTACTTCTAAGTAAAAGCTGCAGAAAGTAGCAGCAGGAGCTTTGTCATGACCACATGAAAATGGTTTGACTAGAAGTTTGGGAAATTGCAGTGAAACATAGAATTAGCTTTGTCATTCCAGAATAGATTTTGAGCTTTGTCAGTAACAACAAATGAGCATCAGCCAGTGTAGAAAGAAATATCTTCAAGAAGAAATAATTCCTAGATTGCCAGGTGTGTTTCCTTAGATTTGTTGCATAGACGCTGTATAATATTCACCATGCGTCTCTTTCTGTTGGACTGCTTTCTGTTTTATACTTCTGGCTGGAAAAATTAATGGTTGCATTAAAAATAGAGAGGTGGCTGGAGACTGGAGTGTGTGCTGAAGTAACAGTTGTCTCTGTTGTACACCACCACCTCCCCAGCTGCGAGGACCTCTGCCCCCCCGGGAAGCATGGGCCCCAGTGCGAGGAGAGGTGCCCCTGCCAGAATGGAGGCATCTGTCACCACGTCACCGGGGAGTGTGCCTGCCCACCAGGATGGATGGTAAAAACACTTCCCGAAATCAACACAACCCTGTAAAACTTCCATATTTGTAGATCTAAGGCAGCACCAGAAAAGGGTAGTAAATGAAGATACCAAATGTAGTCTGCCTGTTGCCAGGAGTAATGAGAAACGTATTTGAAATGACTGGAACAAAATACTTGCAAAACCATCTGTTACTGAAAATCCTCCGGTTCTGTGCTGCCTTTTTAACTATCAGATTCTGAGAAGCAAAATATATGATTCATACTGTGATGAGGCAACATTGTTTAGATCTTGTCTGGAAGTCATTAATTTATGCGTAGAAGTTGATATTATACAGGTGTGACACTGCTATATGCAGTTTTAGCAGTGGGTTTTGTGCCTGTTTTCATATGTATAATATGCACAACAAAAACACCAGACCTTTAAATATTGTGTTAAACGTTGCTGTTGGAAACGGGACATCAGAACTTTGACATTATCTTTAGACTTTCTAGCCTTTTGCCAGTGGATAGGGAAAGAAGAATTGACCTTAGCTTTGCAAGTACTCACCTCTACTACCATGCAGCCAACTCCAAGCTGGCAAGTAATGGAGTTGGAATATCAACTGGAGTTGGAATATCAAAAGGCTGGAAGGTGATCAAAGCCCAAATAATTTCTTTACATACATTCACAGATAATATTGATCAATAGTATTTGCTAATATTATTTTTAATTGAAATGTCCTTTTGTGTGAAAATCCACATTTCCTGAGCTTTTAATTATCTCATGATAATTGAGATATTACATTGAGATAACCTATTGCAGAGGTCAGGTCTTCACCAACTAGGCAGCATAGCCATAAATGATAGTCTCTGTGTGTTTGAATAGCACCACAGATCCTGACTGCCTAACTTGGCTTATGGCCATTTTTATTTTTCATTCCACTTCATGTTAGAAGAATGAAATTATTTGTTATAGAATACAATTTTTTGCATAAATTCTTAACTCCCTTTATTTACTTAAATGCAGGTAATGAAAGATGAGAGTGCATGTGAAGCTGCAATGGAAATTTTATACCAGTGTGTGTCTTAACTAACAACTTACTGGTTAACCCTTTGGCTGATTTTCCATTCCAAATAGTTATTTAAGCATAGGTCATTAGATTCAGATTTTTTGATTCTGTAAAACACAATTTTGTCGATGTAACCTTTTTTGCTTTACATGTAAGGAAGGTTTAATGTAGGCAGGTATACATTCTGCAGTATCTTATGTTAACTGAAATACCTGCATGTCTTTTGTCTGATGAAATGCCTGTAGATGTTTTTCTTGAAATGGCTTCTTGAAAGTCTAAAGATCTGATGCTCCCCTCACTACACAGGTGTAATTAATTCCAAAGATGTAAACAGCAGTGCAGAAATTCAAAACCCGTTGAAGGGAATCAGGCATCCTATGTAAGCTTTTAAGATATGCTCCTTTAAATTAAATTACAGACAGCTTCTCCTTTCATCAGAAAAAAACAGCTTATCATAAAGTAGTATAATTGGGGCATTACCGCAATTACTGATTTCTACACCTCTACTTATTGAAGGGCATTTCCGGATGTCTTGATATATACTACTCCTCATAAATAAATTGGGAAGTTCTTGATATCAATTAGTCTTAAATGTCTAAGTGTTTTCACTGTTGCTTAGAGATAGCATTTTTCATTAGCTTACGCTTCCAAATGGAAATCCTAGAAGATTATGCCCCTGGTGCCGAGACATAGCCTGTGTTTAAAGCTGGAGAAGACTCTGGTATTTCCAAGATGAGCGCTAGACAAGTGACATGAGGTCTCCTTGATCTTCCTTGATTACAAACATCTCTTCTTTGCCCACTGAAGCTGTAATCCCAAATCTAATATTATGATATTTTGTTTTCTGCACACACAGGGCATGGTCTGTGGTCAGCCTTGTCCTGAGGGTCATTACGGGAAAAACTGTTCCCAGGAGTGCCAGTGCCACAACGGAGGGACCTGTGACTCAGCCACAGGTCAATGCCATTGCAGCCCAGGTTACACAGGGGAACGGTAAGGAAAACATATTATTGCTGGACTGCTGAACTTTGCAAGGGATCCGCTGTGGCTGTTAGAAGCTGATAGAAAGCAGAATGAAAATACCTGTGATACTATTAAAAGAGTCCTGTGAAATATTTGTCATGTCACATAGCTGATGCCGGGTCACAAGTTAAAAGTGCTTATGTGACTAGCCTTCTGTGGGGAACTGCTTGGTTTCAGGATTTTCCTGCTGTGGCCCATGCTCTGGCAGTGTCTTGTGTGTCTTCACTTGAGTGGTTTGCATAGTGACGCATTTTGGAGTATGGTGAAGGGATGAGAAGGGAGACTTTTGGTTTTGTGCAGACGTTTGGCAATCATAGTAACAGGGGAGGCTCATCCAATCCTTCAGACTGAGCAGGCTGGAGAGGTGTTACCTAAAGTATTTCATTCAAATGAAGAATTGAAACTTCTTTATTTTCTGACATGGTTGTTAAAAATCACCTTTGATAGATTGGAAAGGTAGCATTGCAAGACATAATCTTTGAAGGCAGTGGCAAGTGATGAAAGAAGTGATTTCCTGCAAGTATTTTAAACAGCACGCAACTCATTTGCTGAAGTCAGCAGCAGCTTAATCACTGGGGTCAGCCAGGGGACCTCTGCCAACAATTTATAGGGATTATAACCATATGCTCTTCCCACACAAGTGTTCACACGACATGGCAAGAGCTGTACCAGTCGTAAGGGGGAAAAAAACTCATGAAGAAGGGAAACATTTAGTCCAGAGCCATTTGGATGCCAGAATAAAATTCGCATCTGTGAAGAAACGGTGTATACAGCAGTAGACACATTTAAAGAGACACAAACGAGTCAGCAGGGAAATCGAAGGAATATCCATGCACTGCACTAAGCTGGTGTTTCTAGAAGCAATTATTTTTTTTACTTGGAATTTAAATCTGACTTTAATCTTAAGTGCCTTACTGGCTGCACCATGTTGATCACTTTTGCAAATCTGAGCTCCCTCTTCCTGCAAAACAGGCTGTATTTGCAATTCCTTTGTTTTTCAAGGTATTCCAAGGGCAGGAACGGGTCAGAAGCAAGGTTTTAGACCTGGTTCTTATTTCATGTCACTGGACTGGCAAGGGAGGGTAGGGTTAAAAGAAATGTGTGGGCTTTGACTTAGCTAGCACTTACATAAAGCAGCAAAAAGGATGTTTTTTTAAAAGTGCTAAACTTCACTTCTGTGTGTAACTGCAACATTATTTGTCTGAGATTTCATCGTGGTGGTGAAATCCTGGAACTGCTTCATCCAGGAAGAAAAAGAGGACTCTTAAAGCATGTAATAGTTTCGAGGGTTAACACAAACGAATCTAGTTTAAAGTGCCTTTATGATTATTCTGTCTAATACTTTTTGATTAATGCCTGTCCTCACCATGAAGTGGAAAAGGATCTTCCAGAGGATACAACTAAAATAAAATAAAAATTGTAATTTTGAATTTGTCTAATTTGGCTGGGATTCCTGATTGTCATTTGGAGAAAATTCAGTCTCAGCTTTATTTGTGTAACTTCATTAGGAAACATTTAAATAGGGTTATTGGCTCTATTATTATGCTACATGTCTGAAGGAAAGGGGATATTATTTCTGGCTTCAGCCAGGGCAGAGTTATGAATACCTTGAAACTTCTCGATAGCAGCATCAAATTGAGGCAGTTACTGAAGAAGCATGAAATTAATGTGTATACCTATTTTATGTCAGTTAGAGTGCTCTGCCCAATTCTGTACATTTTGCAGTGACTTGTATCACATCTTGGAAAATCTCCTGTGATAAATCACCAATCATGCAAAAAAAGCCATCCCAAAACAAACAAAAAAAGACAACTATTTAAGAAAAATGGAAAGACACCCCCAAGGAAATTCTTTTATAGGACTGGAGAAATGAGCAGGTTATAAACTGATAAAACCATTAATAACGTGCTGTATTATTAAACAGTATTTTTGTACAATCTGTAACTTGGCAAAACACACATGTACCCAAATTGCAGAAGATGTTTTGTGCCCTTTCATTTCCCAGCACACTTCAGGACTTCAGTGTCAGCACGTTCTGGCCCAAAGCTTTGAAATTTAGCTGTTTTACTTTTTGTCCATGCCAGCATAATTCAGAGCTTATAGGATACTTATATTGAAAAGTATGAGGATTTTCCCTGATATATAAGCTATGAAATGTTGTAGTCCTTGGCTCTGAGATACAAACCCTGAGATACAAACCTGAGCTGAGAGGTCTCATACATACAATAAAATATTTTATGTGCACTTAGAGCTGGAGCCTTTAGTAATGCTGTAGTAGTGCTGCCGTTCCAAATTTTAACAATTCAGTTACATAAAAAAAAGAGAAAGCTGAAAACATCAAGCTCATATTGTATCTCTTAAATACATAGTCAGTGAAATTACTATCTGGAAACTGTAGTAAATGAGTTGCAAGTTTTAGAAGCAGGATACTGAAAATTGTCTTTTAGTCAGGCTGGACAGCTAAACATACAGTGTGATCTCTAACTCAAATAATGTCTTTCATATGTAAAACATTAAGAAAATAAGACGGTTACCCGAAGTAGCTGTCTTCTAAAATCTGTGTGAATGAAAGCAGAGAGGTTTGATTAAGAAGTCTCTTTGTTATGATGTATTTTCCTTATGGAGCAACAAAAATCGTTGCTATTCTCCCATATGGGTCCTTACTAATTTTCACTTTAATCTATGGGAAAAGTCAGATGAAAAGAATGGGTTTGTATTACAGGAGATTTTTCCGTATTATGTTGTGAATTTTTGAAGGCCAAAATAAAAACATAAAAAAATGTTCAGAATGAAATTCTGAAAATAAAGGTATTCTGGAAACATCATGTGTTTGGAAACACAGTTAGAAAATACTCTCTTCAGAGACTGCTGAGCATGATTGCCAGGGAACTTCCTGGCCTAAGCATCTGCAGGAGCACGTGTGTCTGCTGGCTGTTCACACTATTGCCAAGTGAAGAATCTAGATCACTTAAAAAAATTACAGATGGATGGCTTTTGAAACCAAATGCTTGAAAATTTATTCTTTCATACTTCAGGTTTGATTTAAAAGGGTTTGGTTTTGTTCTGGTTCCTGAACGCGAAGTGCAAATGTCTGTGTATGTAAGTTGTCTCATTTTTCCAAAGGAATTTGCAAAGCCAATGTTTTTAAGCCTGTGTAGCTGAACAGCAAAAGAAACCAGGGAAAGGCACTTTTGAATATGAAGTTACGTAAATTTCAGCTCTACTTAAGAGGCATTTTAGGCCAGTATAAGAGATTCATTAAAAACTGTATTTCCTTTAAATCCCCAAAACTGGTAGTTTATGGGAAATAGAATTAATTTTTGTTTGTTTTTCTCACAGATGCCAAGATGAGTGTCCAGTGGGGACTTACGGAGTGCAATGCGCTGAGACCTGCAAGTGTATGAATGGTGGGAAATGTTACCATATTAGTGGTGCCTGTATCTGTGAACCAGGATACACTGGAGAGCGCTGTGAAACGAGGCTTTGCCCTGAAGGAATTTATGGTCTCAAGTGTGATAAAAAGTGTCCCTGCCACATGTCTAATACCTGGAGGTAGGCTTTACAGGCTTTAGCCTGTTTCGTTTTTCTACATAGAGAATAGAAATCAGAATAGAATCTGCAAACAAATGTTACCTGATTTTTATAGTACTTTCATACAATCTGAAGCAGTATTTGGTATATCAAGAAATAAAATACCAGCTCAAAAGAGCTTCTGAATTTTAGCGCTTGCAGCTACATTTGATCTTAATATTCACTGTTGTATTTGGTCTCTGACCCGTGAAATAAACATGAAGACAAAGTGTGATCTTTGTCTATATTTACCACATGAATAAATCATTATATCGTTCACCATATAAAATCAGTATACAATCATGTCTCTTGCATATTCTGGTCTACTGTAGATGAGAACTTGCCTTAAGAGTTGGGTGTGAGAGGAGAATCTATTTCTCTCTCTTTTTCTCTCTGTGTATAAGTATATAAGAATAGGTGTAGGTGACTGATTTAATACAAAATTTCCGAAGCCCTACCAATTACACAGTACATACACAGTACATACACAGTATGCTAGAGATTGGAAGGGACCTCAAAAGATCACCTAGTCCAATCCCCCTGCCGGAGCAGGAACACCTAGATAATGTTACACAGGAATGTGTCCAGGCATGTTTTGAATGTCTCCAGGGAAGCAGACTCCACAACCTCCCTGGGCAGCCTGTTCCAGTGTTCCGTCACCCTCACTGAGAAGAAGTTTCTTCTCAAGTTTAAGTGGAACCTCTTGTGTTCCAGTTTACACCCATTACTCCTTGTCCTATCATTGTTTGCCACTGAGTAGAGCCTGGCTCCATCCTCGTGACACTCCCCCTTTATATATTTATATACACTTATAAGGTCACCCCTCAGTCTCCTCTTCTCTAGAGAAATCTGTAGTAAATCTATCTGTAAATCTAGATTTGAAAAATACATTTTTTGTCATTTCAGTGATTATTCTAGAAAGCAGGTAAAATCTGATCCCTGGAAATCAAATGAAAATAGTTTTCCAATTAGCTTACCTTTTACTATTTCTCCTTATTCAGGTGGAGAGTCCTATTTTTTGAGTTTTGTGTGTCTTTGTAGATTTTGCAATAATTCATCATGCTGTTATGAAAATCTGAATACCAGTTTTTTGCAGGCAAACTTTCAGCTGTGAGGGCGGAATGTCACATGTGAGTTGAGGCAACCCAACATATTTATAGAACAATTCTGGACAGCTTTCTCCTGCTACGAAATGCAGTTTTGATGAAATATTTTGTTCATTCATTTGCACTTAATTGCATTACTAATCACAGTACCTTTTATCAGGTTTGTGAGCATTATCTAAAATTTCTTCTGTTGAAAATAGCTGTGAAAGAAATTTGGAGGGACTGTTGACTGTCACATAGAATACTGCTATATGTATATACAATGCATTTTTTATTCCCCATAGATAAACCAAAAGCCTTTAGCCAGAATTTAACAGTGATGTTAAAGCACTCAAGCACATACATAGAAATATCTATGCCGTTAGGCCTCTGTGAAAAATTACTTTGTGGATTGTCTGAGTTGTCCAGCACACCTTTCATTGACAAACCATGTTGACAGCAAACCGATTTTTTTTCCCTTTCAATTCGTATGCTTTTACAGTTGTGTGCTTGTGCTTCTGTTTATCCTATGTACTTGACGTGGTTTTTGAAAGAATACAGGTTTTGACATAAAATCAAGCAATTCATTCTCTGGGCAATGTGTTCAAGAATAAATGACACCATAATGCTGACCTGTCTAGCTCTCAAATCATGCTAGTAGACCAAATAATAACTCATATTAAGAGTTAAAGCAAGCTGCTTTCTTGAAAATTTGTCTGCAGACTGTTGTAGCAGCCCTACAGGCTTAACAGGAATATATTACACTGTATAGTATTTCTGATATTACAGGGATTACTTCTGATTCATGTTCAACACAGCTGTTGCTACATTTATACAACTGGAAGACAGCTTGTGGTCAAATCAGATCACAAATGTTCACATGTAAACAGCTGCATACGGATGGTCTTTTTTTTGAACATTTTCCCCTCTGTATGATGAATCAAAAGCCACTTAACAGCTCTGAAGGTGCAGGAGCATATTTGCAATGATCTGTAAGGAAAACAAAGATGTTCATGATTTCACAGGTGTATTTTTTGTATTTTTTCGTATATGGGTTCCTTTCCCCTGGGTCAGCAAGTAATTTAGACTACCACATACCAGAAATCAAAGGGCATCTGAATAATGGTACAGAAGATAAAAGGGACACTTTACATTTCTGAGAACTTTTTGAGAAGCCAGTTCTATCTGGCAGTCTTCATCTCTTACTACATGTCAGTCTGCTGGGAGACAACATTTTAAGCATATCAGGGAATATGCTCATCGCTTACTTCTCTACCACAGGTACTATTTGGGCTGACAGTAGCCAAAGGATTGTCTTCATAGCACTAACCCATTTAGCAGCAATGTAACAACCAGTAACGCCAGGGCATGAAAAAGGGGGTACAATCCCTTCTTCAAATACACTCTGTGTATCTGTAGGTCTAGGATTCTGGGGGACTTGGTATTGTTAAAAGCTTCTTTCATCTGGGTATGACCACTAGTTTAGATCTCCTCAAAGAGGAGATGTTGATAGGCTTAGAGCCCTATGTTATTACTTATGTTCTTAGTATTCATAGATATGGAAATGAACTAAAGGTTAGTTAAAAAAAACCAAACCTAGCACCAAAAAATAATGCTGTAATATATGTGTACATATGTTGTAGTATACATGTGTATGTCCAGCCAATTTCTTCAAATACTTGAAGATACAAAAACATCATGATACATTATAGTTTAAAAATGCATACAAATTTCTATACTATTTAATGATTGAGGACATTGCATCAAAACAGCTTTGGCAGTAATTCATAATTCGCATTTTGGGTAGGCTAGCTAAGCTACAGGGATTTTGCCGTTGTTATTGGTTGGTGGCAGCTGCTGGGTATGGAAGGCAAATCCATCCTTGCTGTTAGTGGTATCAACATCCTCTATTAAAAGCTTCATAAAGGGTTAGGTCTAGATACACTTGAGAGATTTTATTCTTTTTGAGAGGTCCAGAGGACAGTGGCAGGTAACAACCCTCTTGTGCTAAGAGTTTTTTCACACATGGTTCTTTGCTATTGCATCTTTTGATATATATGAAAGGATTTGAACTGCAGTACAAATCAAACACAGACCTCTTTTCTGCATGACTAGGCAACTGTCAAGTTTTCCCTTTTTACTCGATAGTCAAGAGAAATAGAGTGAGTGCAAGCTGGCTAAGACTAAGGCTGTGTAAAACATGTTTCCTCAGTGGGGTACAACCACAGTGCTGTGAACCGGAATGAGCAGACCCATATGTCCTGCTATTGCCATCCACAGTGTGTGCGGCTTATAGAAACTTGTCCTTCTGAAGATCCAGTTTGCAAGAATGAGTAAAACAGACCTCGATCTGCCTTCATCAACATGGTCACTTGGTTTTGTATAGGAATGACCTTCCAGACTAAACCACTTTTAGACTGGGTTTTGTCATTCCTTTGCTCAAGTGACAACTGATGACCATTCAGAAAATATAAAAAGGGCAGATTGTAGCTGTATATTTATCTGGAAAGTTTATGAAGGATATCTGTTATACCTGTGTTACTGACAGCATACACAGTGGTTTCAGGTTGATCTCCAAGCTGAATTTGAGATGTCCCTGAATTTTTTCTTGTAAGTTTTTTCTGGTGATCTTCCAACACTGCTTCACACTTGTAGTGGGTGAGATCAGCTTGAGTCATTCTGTCAACTATTTTGGTATAGTTGAGGCTGTGTGTTTTTAAAGCCAAGATAAGGGCATCTTATAGTTCTGCATTTTTCTAATGATCTTGTATGTACATACAAGAGCTGTTTGTGGAAATTTTATATTGCAAAGAGTACTACAGAATTTAGATGGAAATTGTAATACTGAAACACCTATATAAATCACATGATAATCATTGCGTTCATTTAAGTCCTTCAAATATATAATATCAACTACCCATAAGTACTTATTTTGTCTTTGTACAGAGTAGGGTTGTATTGCCAGAAAGTGTGAACAAAAGACCAGATATAAAAGCAGATGTACTGGCAGTATCTCTCAAGCATCTCTTATTTCCCCATCTTAATATATAAATGTTGCTAGCAATTAAGATAACTGCATGAGAACCCATCAAAAAGCTTCAGAAGTGCTTTAGCTTCCTACATCTAATTACAAATTACAGAATACTAATTTTGGTGTCAATCAATATATGTGCAAGTACGCCTTATTAACACTCACTGGGGGGGGGCACAGAATATCAATGCCTCTGCCTCATGCCCAATGCTTACTCATGTGTGTGGTCTCCCCTTCTCCCGAAAGGGAAAAAACCCAACAACAAACAATGCAGGGGTACGTGTCTTAAAATGACAGTACTCCTTATTTTATGTTATAAATATATTCTAATACATTTCCTAGTGACTATTCAGTTGTGGACTGAAAAATCTTTTTATATTCCCTGCTCTGTATTCTTCCACAGATAAGAAACGTGGGAATTGGAGCCAAAATGCCAGTGAGCTCCTACAGGAAGTTAGGAAAATTATTTTATAATTTTGCATTTATTTGATATGAGAATAGCGCCATTTCAGTTTACTTCATGGCAGGTATTTTTGTAATGGAACAAATAACAAGGGCTGTTGACTATGAACACCATGAGTTTTGAACCATTTCTGCATCTGGTTCTCTCGTTGAGAAGACCTTTCCTCTCACTTTATGTAAACAAGCTTGATACTGTCAAAGAGATTTTAGTATCTTCAAGACCCCCAGATTCTTAAGATGTTATAACATATGCAATAATATGTAGTGAAAAGAATGCAGAATGATATTCCAACCTTTGTAATTAATAATTTCCTGGATCAGAAGTATGCTGTCCGTTGTATTCAGCAGCAGGGAACTCTTAGTTTGACAAATAGTTGTCGAGTCCAAATGCAGTTGCAACTAATACTGTATTCCCATCTTACATTTCAACTTTTTCTAACCACATTGTTGTTATTTATGTTATAGTACCTAAATGTGCAGTAGGTATTTTTTCAGACTTTCAAATGGTCAGAAAAATACTCAGTTTCAAACACAGCCCCCCACAAGAAGTCAGCAAATCTTGCAAAATCAGGCTCTTGTCAGGGGTTATTTAATATGTCTGGATGAAGGCACTTCTTTTCTCCAGCACACTTAAAGTAACTTCAATCAGTGGCACACAAATATCTTTAAACAGTCTTACCATTGTAAATATATTAGATTTGGATATTAAGGCTTTCCTCTGGTGCAAATTAAGCAAGTGCTTTGTCTGCCAGACGGCTACAGAGTACCCCATTGTGTCCACTTTTCCAGCACATATATCTTTGCACAGCTGATGATGTCCATTTGTTACGAGACAGCAGCTGTCTGTCTGGCCTTTCAATGAAAGTGCTGTTCCAGGTAGAGACAGCTGGTCTGCCACCAGGTATGGCCAGCACAGGAGGAAAACTCTCCAGAAGGTCACTGCTCTGATGGTATATCTGACTTCCACCCGATGCAATTGAATTTGTAGCATTCCCGGAAAAATGCCAGTTGTCCTCTTTTTGGCCAATAATTTAAAGAAAAGAGCATGCTTGCTTCTCACTGGGTGCTGTGTTGTTATTTTGCGTTGGATGCCATGCTATAGTTCCAAAGCATAGTATCTGTCAGACAATATGCTGCTGAATGTAACATAAGAGTGTTATGAAAGTGATCCTATTATACTTGGAGTCACAATGTATTCTGGGAAATGTAGTGGTTTCATCACCTTGATATTTGCAAACATGGATATCTATTTTATGGAAAAAAACTTCTTTTCTTTCCAAGTCCTCCAAAAATGTCTATAATTTGTATGTTGTTGCATTTCTTTAATTGGTATGCATTTATACATACATATACAGAACCCTTTGCTTTGTGGTTTGAGGAGTAAACCTATCTCTATGCAAGATCTGTTATGCAACCCATCTATAACAACATGTTTTTATCTGGGTAAAAGAAAAGAAGCTATGTTTAGTCCTGAATTATTTATCCTTTCATACCCCCTGGCAGCTGTCACCCAATGTCTGGGGAATGCTCCTGCAAGCCCGGTTGGTCTGGGCTCTACTGCAACGAGACATGCTCTCCAGGATTCTATGGCGAGTCATGTCAGCAGATCTGCAGCTGCCAAAATGGTGCTGACTGCGATAGTGTATCTGGAAAATGCACCTGTGCCCCTGGATTTAAGGTAAATAAGTCTTGATTTCACAACAGCCTTTAGTTAGGTGCCAAATTCTTCAAGATGTGAGTGTCCTTTCTCCACCACAGTAAAAGAGGTAAAGACACTTAGATACCAATGGGTGTCTTACAAACAAAATTTGTGATTGGTTGTCAGTACTGAAAGGAAGCCATCTGAAGAAAGAAAAGTTAGTTGCTCTAAAAGACATAGAGAATAATGAGGGTGTGCTGTTGAGGTGTAAGTAAGAGGAAGAGCAATAGCTTTCAGTCACTTATCTTCTTGTACCAAGGCCTCATGCTCCATACAGAGAAACTCTGGACAAAGACATTTGTTTTAATAGTTCAGAACAGACTATTCTGAAGCTTTTACAACTCACTTATTGTTACCTCTTCACTGGATGCTAGTCTGACAGAAAACATTTTACAGTATCACCGTTCCTCTAGGAACAGTAACTCTGAAAACTTCAGCCAAATTAATTCTTAAAAATAGTTCCCGTATCTATATTATTTTCCATTAAACTGCTGCTGTATTGTGTTTTGTTTTCATAAAGGGCTTCTTTATTGCTGAAAATGCTGTCCATTGGTTTAACCAAGTGCTGTTACCTATGTGACCTGAGCTCTCCCAGCAACTAATAGTAAACTAATGCTTAGTGTAGACTTAAAAAGTATTAAGGACTCTCTGTCCCTTAAATTCAGGATAACTTAGTGACAGCCTAGGACAGTCAGGCTGTCAGTTTTTTGGCTTTTGTAGCATATGAGTCAGTCGTGGTCATTTATTAGTTGTATTGTCTGAACCTCCTTAAATAGGCTCTTATTTTTGTGTAATTCAGGGTGCTACTTGTGGTACTCCCTGTCTTCTGGGAACATATGGAGTAAATTGTTCATCTGTATGCAACTGCAAAAACGATGCTGTCTGTTCACCAGTAGATGGTTCTTGTGCCTGCAAAGCAGGTAAGTATCCCTTACGATTAATTTTCTTTTCCTATAGAGAAGAAGAAAGAAAATTAATAAAAACTTAATAAAAAGCAGACCATCTTGAAGACCATATCCCTAGATACTTTATGCTTCAGCTCCTCTGGGGGGGGCGGGTGAAAACAAGAACATCTGCTCAGAGAAGAGTATGCATGTCTCGTTTTCATGTTTCCTCCATGCAGTTCTTAGTGGCCTGGACACTTTGGCTGGGCAAATTACCGGTGCTTAATCTGAGATGGGACACCACTGATTCTTGTGGTAACACCGTGGTCTGCTAGAAGGCTGCTGGTGCCCCATTTATCTGATGTCAATCTTCCTAGTCAAAATACGTTAGCCTCAGGGAGTACCACCTCTGGCTGTCACCCTTGCCCCTTTCAGCATCACAGAGATGCAGACATTCCTGACAGTCCGGCACTGACATCTATTGGCTTTTTTTTTTAATTTGAGTATTCTTTCTTTCATCAATTCTCTGACAAAACCTTGCCTACCCCCCTTCCCAGCCTGTGCCCTCTACAGTTCCCTGCTTCCATGAGAAACTTTCTGAATTTCCCAGTATTAGTGCGAGCAGACTTGTGTTCCTCGATGCCTCTGCCTGGCTCTCTCCTGCTAACAGTAATTTTGATAGTCATCATACCTCCCACTAGCAGCTGTATGTGCCTGTCCACCTCTCCATCTCCCAGTAGCACATGCCTTTGGCTGGGGCAAAGATACTTGAGACACCCTCCAGTGCTGGTTCTGCAGAGACAAACAAATCCCTTGCCCAGCCTATGTTACAGACACCCCCTCCATTTAAAAATGTTTTTTCTGAAAAATACATAAAGGTTAAGAGTAGGTGAGAGGAGTTCAGAGTTAGACAAACAGCAATTACATTTGTGAGGGATTGGTAACAAATCTATTGTGTAGGAATATGGGGAGTTTCCAGTTTCTACTTTTGCCATAGACAGTAGAGCTGGTTCAGCTCTGTTAAGTAGCTAAGTAACTATGCTAAGTATCTAGGTCATGAGGAGAAAAACTTTTTTGAGCCATGCATAATTCTATCTTCTAGTGCATAACGCAGTTTTAGTCATAATGTGATGGAAAAGGGCAGCAAATGGTGACATTAAACTAAGTCTAAATATTTGTCATGTAAGTGAAGGAAGTTCGTAAGTTCTGGAAAAACACTTGAGAAAAAATGCCTGGTTTTCGGTGAGGGTAGTATAATATTTTTTTCTTGAAATGACCCTTAAATTCAAAATTACCAAACCGGGATATGAGGCAGCTTCATTTGAATACATGTGTTTTGCATAGTCTATTGATTAGGCTCAGGGTGGAATTGTTTTTCCTTTTGCTTCCTGTAAACAAGGTACAAAATTAGAAACTCAGTGTGTGTCATTCCTGATGATAACATACAACTGGTTCATGCCATTCCTCTTGTATCCAATAGATGATCACATTTTAGAAAATCTATTTACATGTCTGTCTATGCAGTGTGCAGTCTGTGAATCATTGCTATCAGGCATAATCACTGGTGAATGCTGCATTTTAGAACCTTTTTCCATTGTATTATTTTTTCAGTATTTGGAAAGCAGTACAGAAACCATCTAAAAGTTCTATGTATCCTTAGAGAAATCCAACTTATGCACTACTTCGACGTTTTTGTTTTTTTTTTTTGTCTAAGATTTCTGTTAAAATCATATTGCAGAACTGTCTGTATTGAACACTGGTGGAAGAATTATGACAGTAGCAGCTTTCTAGGGAAAATATTCCTAATTTTTTTTCAAGCTATGCCTTAACACTTTCAGTATAGTTTAATGCTTATTAGTGAAATTTCAAGGTGTCTCTGTTTTCATTTCAGATCTCCCATCAATTGCTTTTGTATGTTGGCACCGATCTGCAAAAGTGTGCTGTGCACAGATGTTACAAGGTGCCCTTGGGCACCGTTGTTCAAACCTGGGCAAATTCTAAGCTGAAACTGCTGATACTAGACTGTAGTTAATGTTACTCTAGTATCACAGATCTCCAAGAGATGCCACATGTAGGCAGAGGCAAACATCCTCACAGAAGAATGGGGCAAAACCTGATTAATTTGCCACTTTCTTAATTTTGGCAGGTTGGCATGGTGTAGATTGCTCAATAAATTGTCCCAGTGGTACCTGGGGACTTGGCTGTAACTTAACTTGCCAGTGTCTTAATGGAGGGGCTTGCAATGCTCTGGATGGAACCTGTACCTGTGCCCCGGGCTGGAGAGGAGAAAAATGTGAACTCCCTTGCCAGGTAGTTTAATAATTTCACTGAATTTTGCACTGTGGGGTAATGCTGGGCAGGGTCATGCTCTTTTTGTTCTTCTAATTTCATGGGAATTAAGAGCACTGCAATTGGTAGCCCATATACAACTGGGCTCCAGGTCAGGGATGCGCACCAGCAATTCTTCTGCAAGAACTCTGCTGCTCAGCATGCCAGAGAACTTCTGTTGGCTCTCCTTTTCTTCTCTACTGTCTTTTCCTCACTTTTGCGATACTTACTGCTTAGCAGGCTGTTGGTTTAATATAACTCTATTAGGGATTGTATTCAGGAATTACCTGAACTGAACATAAACCTTATAAATTCCCCTCCCATATCACATTCAGGCTTCTGTCAGTTTGAACTTGCTTTACTGAGCAGTAACATGATATGGAGAGGCTGACCAAAGCACAGCGTAAGACTGGAAACTGAACCTCTGTTTTGAATGAAAATTTGCTCTCTCAAACTACTCTTGGAATACTCAGAAGGAATATTTTTCTTTGAGTTTTGTTTGTTTGTTTGTTTGTTTTAAAATGAGGTATAGTGTACACTGATCCAGTGAGTAAAGTGGCAAGCAAATTCTAAAATATTCTGGAAAGTTGATTAGAGTACCATCTGTGCATGTTGATGCAGTGTTTCCAACAATACATCTCCATCAGAAGACTAATTTTTCTTCTTCCTAAAGCAGGTTTGTTTATCACTTAGTGTCTTGATTCTGAAGGATGATTCTGTCTCCCAAGCTCCATTAGCTCTTCCAAAACTGCCTTATTAAAAAAAAAATAGTTATTATTTCATGGCATCGGCTTCACTGTTCCAAATTCAGCAAAATAATGCTTAAAAGCATTTTTATTTTATATAATTGAGCATGCCCATACTCACTGTCTTGCTTGCTCTGTCTGTGTCAAATGATGTCCCAAGCATTTACTTATTTCAAATGCTTTTTCTGCCTCAAAATTCCAGAACAGGAGAATAAACAGAAAACTAACTCAGATGTGTCCGCTGTTGTCTGACTTTTCTCTTGTTGAACAAAGTGTATTTAAATCAATGTATTTGTTTGTTTTGATAACTTCAGAAAATTAGTATCACTGCCCAGATTGTTATCCAATATTTGACTGAAGTTTGAACTTCAATCCAAATACATAGCAGACTAAAAATACTGCAGAACAGCAGATACATTTTCATACAGGTTTTATTCTGATTTTTAATGTGGGTGAGACCAATTTTTAACCTCAAATTTAAATGATTGGGTTTTAAACCTCATATGTTTTTTCCTTTTTGCCTTTGCTGTGCATAACCCCACATTATGTTAAATTATGTTATTTTATATTATTATTATTATATATATATTATGTTATACTTGCTTTTTCCATAGTTTTTTAATTTGGTTTTGACACTTCTGTAAAATCAATTTAGTGTTGTACTTTGCCTTGTTTTGAGAATGCAATTATAAAGATTTTTCTCTTTTCAGTTTCTCATATCAATTTTATATGGAGTTACCCCCAAATGTTTGTGCCGTCTTCTACAGAAGAAGCAGAAAAGGCAAATTTAAGTGTTTAGATGTAGTTCTATGAAAATCAGCTGTGTTCTTTTGGCACAGCTGAATACCCCAAGACGGGTGTTTGACTTGTAACTGTAATCTCTCTTGTGGTTCAAGAAATGTCTCATAGCCAAAAAATAATTTTGTTTTGTACACTGTCTCATAGCCAAAGAGCTTCTTTTTTTTTTACATAGTATATGCTGTAATGCAGAAGGAAGGATTTTAATCAAATGAAAGTGATGGAGTTTGCATTGTTAAGCATAAAATTCACACTGAAGGCATATTTTAATCTAATGTTTTACTACTCTTGTTTAGAAGTTGTGGCTTTATGCAATAGTAGTTTTGACCAACATATAAAGTGCTGAGGGTCTGAGGCAGAAGGGAGACTAAATTACTTTTCCATCAAGGGACATCGTGGTCCTGGAATAGGAACTCAGCTGTAGGAGAAATTAGAGGGACAAGTATAAGAAAGTTTTCATTGCAGCCTGTTACTGTGTTCTGAATCATTATCTCCAGGTCCATTAGTCTGGGATTTTTCAGGAGAATGTAATAAATTCTTATATTTCCCTTTTAAATGGAGAACGGAGGTGTAGGCCACAAAAATGCTCCAAATGCCATTTTATATTAAGAAAGCAGATTATGGATGCAGGAATGATCAGTGGTTGCTTTTTGAGGTTGCACTGACCAGAACTTGTTCTCCTCTAACTTCCGCTTCTCATCATCTCTGGGTTGTTTGGTTTCTTTTGTTGCCACAGGATGGCACATATGGTCTGGACTGTGCTGAACGCTGTGACTGCAGCCATGCGGATGGTTGTCATCCCACCACAGGATACTGTCGCTGTCTGCCGGGATGGTCAGGTACAAAAGAGACTGTTGTGAAGGACAAGAGAGTTTCCAACATGTTTGGGGCTTGGTCTTGTATTTTGATTTTGTGGGTAGAGGAGGAATGGAGGAGTTTGTGGGATTGGAAGAAGAAACGGGACAGTTCTGTGGCTGCTTCTACATATGATTCACATATGTAGAAAATCTGTTGAGCATGGGATCCACGGATAACTGGGAATAGAAGGGGAAATCTTAACACTTGGGCACCTCTACCGTATGGTTTCTTATGAAAGTGATGTGTAACCTAAACATTCAAGGTTGAGCTGGAAGCTTTGGTAAGTACAGCATCACATCCAGGAACTCAGAAAGCTTTGCTCAGGCAGCCAAGAAGAGGATAAACCTTGCAGAAACTGTGCTGCCATTTGAGTTTCTCAAACTGTTGGAAAAATTGTTTCTCTGCACATATTTTTTGTATGTAAAATTGTTGCACCTTTTTTCACAAAGTTTCTGCAACATTTTCATTGTGGTTTTAAGAACTATATATATTTAATTATTATTCAAAATTTGAATTTGACACTCTTGTTACCCTCACTAATTTGTGGAAAGCATTTTTTTTTTTTAAATCTGATGAATCTATGCAAGGGCAAGATGTCATGCAATGTTCCCTTTATCTCTAGGAGGTAGCTTTAGTGCTCACTTAGATTTCTAAGCAATAAGTGTTGGGAATACTCTTCCATCTTCTGTGAGGTTTAATTCACACTGTAAGTTTGCCCCTCTCCAAGTGTTCGTGACTTTGTCTCACTGGGATATTGTCAGTGTTGCATAGGTCAGGTTTCATATCACCTGTCTGCGTGGACTCCTTCCTTTAACAATGAGAAGTTAGCATGAAAAACACACGTTAAGTGAATAAAGCATGTTTCTGCTGTGAAAAGAAAAGGGATTTTTTTTTTTTTTGTGATTTCAGATATCATTTACTATTATTTATTGTCCACTCATTTATAAGTTAATATTTTTCCTAAGTAACTTGCGAGTTCATGATATAATTGTTTTCTGTTTTCTCTGGTGCTTGCTTCCAGACATTTTTTTGAAAAGTGTAGCAAATAATTATTCTCACAGAATTTTGTGTAGAGCTTATGACTTCCTTGGGAACAGTCCTTACTAAGTTTTTTGTCCAACTTTGATTTTTGTATGCCTTTCTCCCCCTCACCCCCATAGCTCCCTAGATGGATCACAGGCATTTTGTTCAAAGTATAAAATACTTACAGTCTCCAGTTCAGGTTGATTAGTTGTAGTTGATTACAGCTTACCTGGTGTTTTTTAATACTTTCTGTTCAGATAAACGTGACTTTTGTAATTACTGGGGGGAAAGGGGATCAGAAGTATCTCTCAGGGATACAGCCGTGGGCAGAAAGGGCTCTTGCTTTGCTTTGGAAGTCCAAACCCATTTATGATTTCTGCAATTTGTCTGTATGTTGAGCTTCTGCCAAGTTCTTTGAGAAGGCCTGTCTAACCATTGGGTCTCCTGCTTGTCACACTTTCCAGTGTGAAAGAGAGAGTCTTCCAGAGCCAGCACTCACCTAACTGTGCCAGCAGTTTGTTGGTTTTAATCCTTTTCCCCAAGCTGCAGGTTGTCTTAACATCAGTCACTCAGATACCTCTAGGAAGTTACTACCACAAGAACGCAAAAATAATAAAAGTTATCTGAGTAAATTGTAAAAATATACTATTAGCATTATGCCATCTATTCCTATTTTGTGAGACACTACTTTGTATTTATTTTGTTATGATGTTAATGGCCTTTGACGACTTCTTACTCACAGCTAGTTTCAGGTAATCGTGAGTGTGCGTTTGGACGACTTTCTCAAACTTGTATTTGGATCTTCTCAAAATTTGATTCCTTAAATTAACAAATATATTAAGCACAGAATACTCATATTAAAAACATGTGAACAGTTCCTAATCTTGAGCAACCATGGTGTAGGCAGTTAGAGCTGTTCACAATTTCCAGATGTACTGCTCAAAATACATCTTGCAAGTGTTCTAAAACTGAGACCAAAAGTATGTTACTGAGTGAGCCATATTAAAATAAGTAGTTTAGAAAGGCTGTACAAAAAATGTAGCAACTTTTTATAAGAGGTATAAAAGTTACCTAGCCAGTGTGCTACAACTAACCTAGGATGTGACAACGGCTTCAAGCATAGCACAAACCTTGACTGTGCTTGAGCTCAGGTATTGAAAATGTAACAATATTTTTGCCTTCAGTGAAATTTTTTTTTGTCTCCATTTTTTAGTAAGGAAAAAGATTTCACTAGAAAGATACTTCATGCATGATTACAGATAAAAATTGAGTATCTGTCCCTGGATGATGTCATCACAACAGTGTGTGTAACAGACTAGTTTCAACATGTTGGTGATGTCTAGACAGACAATATAACATAAACAGCATAGTTAGCTTTATACTGAGTGTCTGGAAAAACCCTCCTCCCACACTTCACATGTCAGAGCAATACCCATGAGGAATTCGGTCTTTGTGTAGGTGCTTATATTTAGAATGATTAAAAAAAAACAGAGAATACTTTAGGAACAGGTTCTCAAATAGCTGTACTGCAATGTTACATTGGAGAGATAGAATTAGATTGTAGGATTAAGGGAGGTGCTATGTGTATTTGTGTGCATAATAGGTGGAGAATCAGATGGAGGCTTTGTGAAAATATAGAAGGGTACTAAAATGAAACAAATTATGTTAGAATAGCTTAGAATTTATTTTCTGCTAAATTTGTTAAAGTAAACATCAGACTTAATAGATTTTTGGTGGTTAGTAGTACCTACCAAAAAGAACCAAAGAGAGGAAGAAACTGATTTTGGATCAGTCTGATGCTTATCTAACCCAAATGAAGGATTTTAGTTGTTTAAAAAACATTGAGAGAGTAATGTTAAAAAATACATTTGAAGAGGCTTAGAAGTGTAGTTAGTGAGTCTCTTTTCTGTTTCAACTAGAATAAATTGATGAGTGGAAGGTGAACTCCCTCAGATGTTTTGATGCCACCAAAATTATATAAAGTTTCCAAATACATATTTTAAATGTAGTATTTTTCTCAGCCCTGTGCACAGAGCGGTTGTCTACACTTTCCCCAAGGAATTTAATCAGAGGGAATAGTTTATGTAACTTTTCAAAAATAAGCGAAGGGTGGAAGACTTTTTCCCTTGCTGGGTGACAAAGTTGTACTGTAATGCTGAGGAACAGGAAACATGATGCACAGGGAGGGAGGTCACTAGCCTAGTACTGTGCATGCTCGCTTGCATAGGGAGGGATCTCTGAGCTGCTGAAGTGGACATAAGTGCTACTGCCATCTACCAAAGGGGTAGCCTAGCTAATATCCTACCCTGTACTTTCATCTCAAGATACAGCTGCAGCTGACCACTTGGACAACAATAAGATGCTATATAGTTTAGCGGTTTTAAGTGTGTTATTTTATTTTTAAGAGGCCCAATATGTTATCTTTTGCTTCTTAGGTCCTAGTTCTGAACAAACACGTAAGTTCAGTTACTGACTATTGTGTTTTCATGAGCTGCTATAAAATTAAAGAAAAAAATTGTTTTCATTGGTTTCTATTTTAATTTAGGGTTTCTGTTTTTAATTTACATTCTGTTGCCTATGAGGATAGTCAGATTTTTTTCATCTAAACAAAAGTGACTTCCTTTATGGGACTCTTGTTAGGAATCCTACACTCTCTAATTTACACCAAATGCTCCCTGTACAGCAGCCTTATTCTGCTTAAAAAAGCAAGAGTTAAGGATGATGTTTTTCCTGGCAATCTGACCATTCCATCACATTCCAGGAGCCACATGATAGGATGGCACAAATGAGAAACACTGCCCACGCTGAGGATGATGTCTGCCCCAAATGCTCTTGTCCCTTGACTTTTTCACTTTATCTCATAAGCAACTCTTCTTCATCTGGAGAGAGTGCAATAGTTAGACAGGGGAAGAATAAGAACCATTAAAATAGAAAGCAGATGAAAGACACAGAAAATGTATTCCTGCAGTAGGCAATGGTAATTAATTCTTCTAGCAATTCTTCTAGTAATTTATACCAAGACATTATATAACTTTGAAGAGCCACCTCTACCATTTCTCTCAGTGACCACAATCCATGTTAACTGTTAATTTCATACCTTAATTCTGCAAGCAACTGTCAAAATACAATCTTTCTAAATTCCCTAAAAGATTTGAAAATTAACATTCTTGCAAACTGAGATTTCACAGTACATCATTGTAAAAAGAACAAGGTTTTTTTCTCCAGACAGTTTGCATTACAGTAATGTGGTTGTTAATCTGTGTGATAACACATTACTGTTGTGCTTTTTTGGGTGCAGTTCTTCTGGACTACTCTGTGAAGAAATGCCATGTCATACCACATTTGTTATTTTTAAAATCAATTTAAAGGTTAGGTGGTGCCAGGGATTACTAAACACCGCGAGTCTGCTATCTGTACCAAAACAATAGCATTGGTTTGTGTGAAAAACAGATGCAGTAATATCAGCCTACATTTTACCAGCGTGCACAGTATTCATTCATATGCTACAGCAGATAGGGTGTTGGTGGCTTTTTGCTGTGCTGAACACCTGCTGACACTAGTCAGATTGCCCATCACCAGATGTGTTGTTTCTGTGAGGAAGCGCTGTGCCTTTCCATGTGCTCCTGACATTATTTCTAAGAGGCATATTTGTTGCTGGATTATAACAGGGAGGACTGCCATCTGACACCTGCCACACTGATGCAAATAACCAGGTCCCCTGGGAAGTGCTAACCACAACTCTCCTTCGGTCCCTAGCTTTTAATGTCTAATGCATTTTCTTCCCCTCTTACATAGCAGAATGAAAGATATAAACCAGTACTTTTTCACGGGTCTCCCTCTCCTTAAGAGTGAGAAACAAGCTCTGCTGGAGTGGTGTGCGTGGTGCTGGCACCTTGGTCAACCCAAGAGGAGAACCTTTTGCAAGAACATGGGTTTCTCTCCCCCTTGGCTGATTTCCACATGGCTCTTGATGCATGAGGTCCCTCCCATTGTGATGAATATTCAGTGTGCCACAGAATGCAACTATATGCAGGCACTGTGTCTTGATAAGTATCGTATTTACTTTCCAAACCTAGGGAGATGAGTTCTTCAATAAGAGGTTTGGCCTACCCTACATCTGGACTTCACTGTGTCTGTATCTCTATTGCCTATCTGTTGTGCTGGGTCTTTATGTGGAAGAAATACCAGTCTTTACAGTGCTGGTTTTGTTTACAAGCTTTTGTAGCTGTCTTCCTACCAGAACTCATGGGCACAAATTCTCCTGCTGCAGCAGCGAAGAAGCAACAGTCTGAACTTCTAAAGAAAAATCTTTGATCCTTTCATTAACTCCTTAATTTAAGACACTTTTCTTTAGTCTTCTGGCTGCCTTCAGCTGGTGGGCAAGGTACTTCCCTTAAAGACAATTCACTTCTAAATAGTGCCTACAATGTTTCTCACCATATCCCTGTAGTGTTTTTCTCCTTTCTTTGAGCTGCTCCTCCATCAATGGACAGAAAAGGAGGGGAGTAATTGCCACCACCAGAAATCTCAGTTTCCTTGAGCAGATGTGATCTAGTGTTTCTATCTCTCATACAAAGGGAGAATATGAAGAGTGAGGTCTTGGACCATAATGTAAATATATCATTAGCTTTAATGACACAAAGATTTCCCCAGGTTTTGAGGGCTTGATCTTTCTCGTATTTAGGCTGTTGTATATCCAGTTTAGCTCTAATATAGGGGAAGTATACCAATACACAAATAGGTTTTAATTCTGAGAGTCTCTACTGGAAAGCTCCATGTGTTGTGAAGATATGTATAGCAAATACATGTTCTTCATGAAAAAAATATATTTTTAAAGTTTGAATAGCTACTTATCAGACTAATGGAAACCTAACAAGCTATGAAACAGCACTTAGTCCAATAATAAATTATCTGGGAAGACTGTAAGAAATAATTGGTAGATTTTTTTTCCCCCTTCAAGTGCTAAAACAAATTAGCTCTCCATTGATCAGAATTGGATGGATCACTGAGTTTCAACTTGCAAATATAGCATAGGGAGTATGTAAACACTCTGCTGGCATGGGCCGAAACTATGGTATACCTAAAGAATTTATTTACTTCATTCATGCAATTACGAATGCTGGGGGAATGCTGATTTAGATGTGAGGCCCCCAGCATAAAGCACTGGGCATTAAATGCATGAGCATTTCTTCAGAGTAGCTTAGCTGAAGTTTATCATGACCATTCAGCTATTGCCTAGCAACTTGTGAAGGCCATCAAAGAGCTCTTTGTCCATAGCTCTGGCAAAAACATTTCCTCTCATATATCCTTATCACTATCAAAATCAACATGAAAAAAAACTTATTAAAAACAATTTAATTTTATAAGAGATTAATACTCGCTTGAAATTGCAGCAATTGCCAGTACAATGTTGATGCCATTATTGTAAAAGCTGAGTCTAATCTTGCTTTGTAAGTTCTAGTAAAAGTGTTTTTTTTCCTCAAAAACGTTTAGCTCTTCTATAAAAGCATACCTTTCTTTGCTGAAATTTCATATAAAGCGTCAGTCTGGAAAATTCTTTTTTCAATTTTTTAATCCTTTTAATATTTCTAACCTATTCTTTGTCAAAAATACACATTTGATTTTTACACCTATAAGATGTGAAACTCAGTTTCTTTAAGTGCCTTGTGAACTTATCTAAATAACAGTGAGTGAGATTCTAAAATCTTTTTGTAAGTAGAGATGCAGTAAGTCACTGAATGTACTAGTCTTTCGGCTTTGCTACATACATTCTTGGCATGCACACAGAGGACTGAAATTAATTTTGCTTGTGATCAATAATGAATAGAATAGAATTCTTTCTGCAGGGGAACAGAAGTAGTATTCAGCACACTTGTAGTATGTTATACTCTCATAGTTATTACCCAGTGATACTCAGGATGCACTGTTTCTTTGCTAAGCAGGGGGATACCATTCTTCACCTGACTATAAGGGGTGAAAGTGGGAAAAAAAAAAAGATATTTTTTTCAGTTTCCCTAATGGATAATTTTCCCTGATGTGTACTGGAGGAAATTTTTCCTTTTTATTTTTAATAGTAGTTGTTGGCTCTTTTAAGTATCGTGGATCTATGCAGTATGGGGCCCATTGTCTTTTCTATCCTAGTGTGCCCAGTATCACCCTTTGACACCATGCTGTCATAAAGCATCCTCTGTTCACAGATCAAGACGATATAATTGAGCCTGTTGTTATTGTATGTCACTGGTCTACATAATCTCAGATAATGCACTATGGTAACTCTTGGCAACTGCTGACTTGTTAATAGTGACCATTGTATACTGAGCACTACTGAAACCCATTAAAGCTCTGTGAAAAATGTCTTTTCTCTAGCAGGGTTCAGTGACTGAAGCTATGTATGATATGACAGATAACACGTGAGCGGAATGCTAGGCTCAATTCTGAGATGCTCTGCATGTGTCTACTTATGCTTTCACAGACTTACAAACCTGAGTTCTCAAATTTGGGAACCTAAAGCAGAGCGATTTCTTACAAATTGAAATGTAAGTGGTCTTGTTTCTAAAAAAGGCACTGTGATCTCATCCAGCTCATGTGCATCAGCATTTCTCAAAATCAAACCACTCTATTTTATCTATTTATCCACAAATAGGGAGTTAATGAAAAAGTTGACCCAGGCTACTGAGAAGCAAGCCTACAGTGCCTCTCAAATGTAGATGAATATAAGAGAATGACATTACTTACACAGGCAAAAATGAAAAAAAAAAAAAAAGTAGTGATATAAGAGAGCTTTCATTTCTTGACAATAAATTTGGTTTAGATCAGTATTAACCAACGGTCATTGTACAGTTGGGGCTTTCAGGTGGCCCATGTACTGTCTGCTGCTGGTTGGTGTCTGGATTCTAAAAGACATGTACCTTTCTCCCTTGCTGGCATAAATTGGTGCAATCTGTTGAACCACATATTTGATTATTCAGTCTGTTGATTGTGTTGCAGAGAAGCAAACAATTTGAGAGCCTAGAGTTTCCCTAACTCCCTAGTTAGGGAGTTAGGTATTTGGATATAGGCAGCTTTACAAAGCAAATGCTGCAAGGGTTGAGGAATAATCTCTAAGTCTGGTCTATCAGTAAACAGTATATTTTTTTTTTTTCAGCATTGTTACGAACAGTAGGTTTTGCTCTTCAAAGTTAAAAGAACTTTTTAGTGGCAACATGTGAAACTTCTTTGCTTTTTTATGACACTGGCAGCCAGTGAACCTGTGGCATATATTGCTGGAAATCCTTACAAAGCAAGACATGATTGTGGCTGGATCCAGTCCACTTTTCCTTTAGCGAAGGGCTTCATTCAGTAGAAGCATTACAATAATACTTAATTGTTAATCCAAAGTACTGTAGACACAATACGGTCCGAGTTCCACAGTGGTGCCCGCTGGCATTTAGCATGCAGCATGCTTTTAGAAAGCAGACAGTGAAAAAAGCAAACAGGAAAGTGATATTTAATGTTGCTGCATTGCAAAGAAATAAAACATCACATGACTGGATGACTGCAATTAGCAATTTGTATTATGATTTATGTATAGGGTTTCAGGTTGTGGCCATTTTATAATAAATTTTGTGTCAAAAATGGTTAGACAAAGCACTGACTGACCAGCATCCTTAACACTGTTGCAGCTAAGCATTTTGGAATGTTCACATGGTGTGTTTGGGAACCCTTTGTGTGTGCTACATTTTTCCATTCGGTATGAGGCTGAGCAGTAATCAGTTCATGACTAATTAGAAATCATTCCATGTCCTGCACCCTATTATTAAATAAAATTATGTCAGACCTTAAGTATTTTTACATTGAGGAGGAAAAGTTTTTGCAAAACATTTTGTCCTGCATTTCCCTAACATTAAAATTGAAAATAAGCTTTTGCTGTTTTGAAACAGCCATTATGGAGAAAGCGAAAGCCATTATTTTGCTGCATTTAAATTACTTTCTTCTTTTTATTCTTTTTATTGATATGAATGATGAAAGTGAGAGAAATAAAAGACCTTTTAAAATTTTTATATGTGTAAAGGTCTTGGAAAACTATCAAACTCTTTATCCTACTCAGAGGTTTGCATTCTTCTTTGTAGATATTAAAGTATCTGCAAGCAGGAAGCCTGGAGGTAGCATCCCATTGAGCTCTTATGTTCCCTGTAAATCTGCAGGAGTGCTTTCCTGTTACAGAACTCAGGATCAGCCCTTATGTACATCTTTCAAAACTGGAAAATGAAAGAAATTAATTGTTCTGGGGGAAGGCAGGAGCAGAGATGCAAGTTTACCTTGTTATATTTTCCTGATGTTAATGATATTTTCATAAATAAGTTTTGTGAGCTTTATTTTAAAAATGAGTTCTTCGGGGACTAAAGGTTTAAACTAACTACATGTAAGAGTTCTTTACAAAGGCTGGCAGTTTTGTTTATTTATGGTTGCAGGAATTCACTGTGACAGTGTGTGTGCTGAGGGACAGTGGGGTCCAAATTGCTCGTTGTCTTGTTACTGCAAAAATGGAGCATCCTGCTCTCCAGATGACGGAATCTGTGAGTGTGCACCAGGATACAGAGGCACCACTTGTCAGAGAAGTAAGGACAAAATAAATGCTTTAAAATCTCTGTTTCTCCCTCCCTTACTTGGAATATAATACCATAATGCTTTTTTAATTGTAGTATAAAGTACTATGAAGCACTCTTTGACTGGATATTGTGTCAAAGGGTATGAATATGCAGAAATAAGTGTTACTTGAAATTAAAAAGTGTTTCCAACTAGTAGTGCTCTTCTTGTAGAACTTTTGTTTACTGTCTGTGCTGTGACATTTCTATGCACATGACTTTCAAAGAAACAAATTCAGTACGGCATTCCTTTCTAAAGGCAAACATTTCCAGATGTCGTTGATGAACATTAACTTTGTAATACATATTTTAGTAGGTAAATAAAACATGTATGAGATTCAGCAGCTAGACACCCAGGCTTCCCATTGAGTCTAATCATTGGCTAAATTACTACCTTCTTTTAACGCTTATTTTGAAGCAGCAAAGAATGGCCGGAGGGATAAGGCCTTACGGTAAGTAGATGATATCATGTGTACATATAGCTGCATTTGGAAAAATTGTCTCTGTAAAATTTAAATGTTACAAGAAGAGATACAGGTGAACTGAGGCAAAATATACCAAAAACAGGGAGGCAAAAATAAGCTGATGCGCAAAATATCTACCCTTCCAAGATTTGTCGCAGTTTGTCAGCAATCTAGCTGCCTTCAGTCTGAATTGTTGAAGGTGTGAGGAAAAGGTGTTCAGAGAAGAGGAACTGAGTCCTCTGCACTTGGAGGGTAACCCTGTTTTGAGAGGTCTTCCAGAAATAGGGTCAAGAAGTAGGTGTAGTAGGCCAAGTGGAGTTGCTTATAGGCTCTTCAAAAGAGGCTTAAAGGCAGGAGATGACATGATATGGTTACTAGAAGGCAGAAGGAGAACCAGAGGAGGAAAGTCTTACAGTCTAGGAAAGGCAAGATTTCAAGCTGAAAAATGTAAGCCTATGGCACTGCTAAATCCCACATTAGTGTGGCATTAGCATTCCTTAAGCATTTTTAACTAAATGCAGATATTATTGTTACTATCTAATCTCTAAAGGCCTAGCAGTTAATCAGTTAATCCAAAGGCAGACTAAGTGTAACACTACATATAAAAATGGTCCCAGTGTTTTGGAACTGCGCCTATAACCTGGACAAGAGGCTTCCAGTCCAGTGGCTGTCAGAGTCCCTCTCTGATGCACGGTCTGGAGGCTAGGAAGACAAAGGTCATATGAATAATTTGGATCTCAGTCAGAAAGTGCCTTTTCAGTAAACAGGAAGACCTTTTGGCACTGTTTCACTAGGAAAAGTTAATCTCTCTAGAGAGGTCTGGCCAGATAACTTCTCTCAAGTGTATAATTAAAAGACTGAATCTTGAATGAAATTAAAATGGAAAAGATTCCAAGCTAGTTTTCATCAGTGCTAATTGCTGCTGTGAAACAGGTATTTCTCTTGATGCATTACCTAATATTCTAATTTATCAGGAAATAAATGTCAAAAGGGATTAAAGCAACAAAGGAGATTTTATGCAAGTCTTTTTATTTAAATTTTTTCCTCCTCCATTTTTTTTTTTTTTTTAAGAAATGAGTGACTTTAGTGTAAGAATTAAGTAGATGACTCTGTGTTTCTGCTCTAAGGTTCCCTAAATTTTAGATGATGCATAGCTGTCTGTACCATGTAATGAGTACAGTGAATATAAATAAAAGGATGAATGGAAAACATTTATATGTTTTTCTCAGTGAAGTAATGGCTATTTGTATTTTAAGTTAGAAAATACAGAAGTCAAGATCTAAGATGACCCTAGTCATCTAAAGATAAAACTACCCACTCTATTTTTTTTAAATTGCTTTTCTTCAAAGGTGCTTTAAAAGACATTGATGTTGCAGAGGACATGTAATGTATAGCAAAATACATATGTATAGTATACATGCATTTCAAACATAACTCAAAGGCACTGAGGCCTGACAGGTAATGGAATGAAACTAAATCATTACTAAATAGAATATAGTCAACCCTTGAGGAAGACGAGCAAATCTCCTTTTGTGAGTAAAGCAGGGGACTTTATAAATAACAACCACCACTGCAATTCTTGTGTATTTAGAAAGGAGAGCTAATTCAAGGTTAGGAACTCATGCACTGAAGAGTAGTTCACAGCCACAGAGAAAATACAGGAAGCAATGACTATTTGCTCTTTCTAATTCCAGTTTGTTCCCCTGGGTTTTATGGACACCGCTGCAGCCAGACATGCCCACAGTGCGTACACAGCAGTGGTCCCTGCCACCACATTACTGGCTTGTGTGACTGCTTACCTGGATTTACAGGAGCCCTCTGTAATGAAGGTACATGTTATAATAAAGACTTTATGGGGTGCAGACCAAGCACTGTAATAATTTTAATGTCATAATTTGGAAATAATGAAACCAAAAATAGTTTCTGGTTTAGTATGTGCAGCTTATAAATTAGAAATCCTAAGCAGGTTTAAGCTGTTTGAACATTTGATCCTGAAGTATAAAACCCGTTGTATACTTGTTTGCATTATTTGTGTAATGAGTATGTATACTGGTCTTACCAGAACTTTTAATGCCTTACTTTAACATTATACTAAGCAACACATTTCTTGATCCAAGTACCAGTTGCTTTCTCTTGAAATAAGGAAAATAAAATCTTGTTCTGATGACTAGGAGTTCTAATTCTGACAACTTGTTCTCAGTATGTCCCAGTGGCAGATTTGGCAAGAACTGCATTGGCATATGCACCTGTACCAATAACGGAACGTGTAATCCTATTGATAGATCCTGTCAGTGTTACCCTGGCTGGATTGGTAGTGACTGCTCTCAGCGTAAGTATCATCTTTTTTTTCCTTTATTTTTGAAACAATTGATCAAGGTTTGGCTATTTAAATTCTCTATTTTTTTTGGTAAAAAACCACTGTGTGAGTCAGAAATGAGGACTTCATGTTATATAAAGAAGAGATCCTGAACTTTTGCATTTCATCAGCACTATCAGAAACACATCTGCACTATGATTTTCCTAGCAAGTGGGCTAGAGCATATGACAGAAAGGGATCAATTTTCATTCTTCCCGTGTCCAAGGAAGAGTTGTAGAGAAGCTGCATGAAATTTGTTTCAGAAGTGGCAGCAAGGGTTACTTGTGCTAGATAAAAGAAAAAAAAAGAGTAAATCCCTATTGTGTGAGTGGTCAAGCACAGCAATTGTCCACAGAGGCTCTGAAGTCTCCAGCCTGAAAGAGGTTGTGAAATTATCACTGTTGAAGATCCTTTGATGTTGGACTAGGTGATGCTAGAGGTCTCTTCCAACATGAAAAACTCTGTGACTTGATGAATCTTGCATTGAAGAGAGGGTTCTTGACTTGTAGTTTGCTTGTCCATAATTATTCAGTCTTTCCATGGTAATGTGAAGATATCAGGGCTTGTATTCTCAGGACAGTCTTACGTTTAACAGAAGTATTATTTTACAAATTAGGAGCTGAGGCACTTAAATGCAGTGTTTTTTCTTAACACAGTTGCATATAGAGCCACTGGCAAGGCGCAGAACAGAGTCAAGATTTTGTCAGATACAATTTACTGCTCTGGCTGCAAGATCATCCTTATTCTGGTTAAACTTTTGAACATCTTGTTAACAAACTTTTCACCATGACTTTTTAAAGTACTTACAACTTTTTAATGGATTTTTTTCTTTCTTCTTTTTCTAACTGTTTCACAGATACATATTTTTAGTGTCATTCTACCTCACTTGAATATTGTATTGGTATGCTAAACTCAGGGATTATTTTGCTCCTGACTTAAAAAGAAGAAGGGTAATTTTATTGTTTCATATTTTATTAAATAATTAGGCACTCCCAGATGCCTTGCTTGGTCTATGCAAATTACTAATGACAGGAAATAAATATCTGAAGGAAAATTCTCACAAGAAACATATCCAAATCCATAAGGTACCAAAATCCATACAGTCTGGCTCACATGACATGCCAAAATTTCAGCCAACCCATTTTTATGAATAAAAGAAGCTGTACAAGACCCTGATATGTCAAAATTCAAAAGACATTGTGGTGGGGTTTCCAGGGAGGTGCATTTCCTAACAACATGCCTAATAACATTGCTTTATATCATTTATGGGTTGACTGCTCCAGGTCAACGGGCTCTGTAGTAGTGTGATGTAACATCTGGTCAACTTGTTAAAAAAGCTTTGCTGGCTACGTTCTGTGAAGTGATTAGCATGCACAAGTCAATATGAATCCAAAATAAATCTTGGACCCGTTTCTGTGAAAGCCAGTAGCAACAAAGGTCCCTGTTTTTACGGTAAAATAAGAAGGTATTTGGGAGAGTAACAGAATAGGGGTATTTAGGAGGAGGAGGGACTTACTGAATCAATAACAAGAAAATGGTGCCAGCGATATGAATGGAAGCGTCTACTGAGGCTGTGCTCATGGACCGTAACAGAGGAAGTTTATTTGCTTTGTATAAAGGCTTTTCGTTCACATGGAAAATAATGATTCCATTAATTTCTTTTGGAAGAGCGACCCTTTTGAAACTTCTAACCTTTGGTCTGCATGTGATTTACATTCCTTCTTCATTGACCATTAATTTTGAATACAAAACAATACTAAAAATAATTGTGTGGCACAACTGAAATGGAAAGAACAAAAAACAAGCTTAGTACTTTTCTTCCAATACAACATAGTGTATTTCTTAACAAAGTGAAATTTGGACAAAGAGAACACTGCAAAAATATAGCCTACACATAGATGAATCATTATGCAAACATTTAAAGGATTCAGGAACTCCTGTTGCTGTCAGACAGGTCTCTGGACAACAAAATCAGTACCAGCAAAAGGAGTTACCAGCCTTTTTAAACTTAACGCAGGTATAAAGCTAAGGCTTCAATGTCTGATCTCTTTCTTATGTCTTGTGAAATACTCGTGTTGTACTTCCATAAAGCTATTCTTAGCTTATGCATCTCTTTAACTAAAGAAACAAACAAAAAAAAACCCAGGATGTAAATCCTAATCAGCAGAAAAGGACTATTCTTGAGAGTACTTTCTGCATTTAGTGATATTCTGACATGAAAAAAACTATCTTTTGCTGTGTCTGAATAGTAATTATCATTTTGGACCGTTCACTATTCTAATGGCAGCACATAGTATCAAATTAATTCACCATGACATTCTCAAAGCATTCAAAAATCTACAGTAAAATTATATCTTGTAACATGTCCAAATGATTGTGAAAAAAAAAAAAAAATCCCCATTTTATAGAGAATTACTTGGGTTTTAGAAATATTATATTGATTAATGGACCCACAGAAGCAACTGAATTAACATGATTAATGTATGGTCCTGATTATATGTACCACGTCTAGGCAACTGTGTAGAATCTATTTCCAAAAGAAGTAAGCTTAGTATTTGGTCTAAAGCAATAGATGTGTCTATTGCTCTTGGGTCTAAGGCTGTAAGACATCTCAATCTTCTCTGTTCTTCTTCACTTTTGAGGCTTAAAGGTCTGATCCCCTTAATTGTGCTTATTGAACTGTCTGCAGGTTAAAAAATGAATTAAGAAAGGAAACTTGCATGGCTTTCTGTATGTGAAAGCTGGTATGAGTGTCCTAGGTGCTGAGTATCAAGTATGTATCACTGGTTTCTTTCACAATTCTAATCTTTTATCTATTTTTCAGCACTTTCTATCTAGACTAAAATGATTTCTTAGTTTAAAAAACAAAAAAGTCTGTATTTTTTTCTCAGAATGCAGCAGCCCAAAAAATATGTTTAAAAGAAAAGCAAACCCCAAATGGAGCAGTGGTTACATATGAATGTAAGCAGCTCACGGGTATCAAGGATCTTTGTCATTTGAGATTAATTGTTGTTTCAGCTTGCCCACCTTCCCACTGGGGACCAAACTGCATCCACACCTGCAATTGCCATAATGGAGCTTACTGCAGTGCCTATGATGGGGAGTGCAAATGTACGCCAGGATGGACTGGCCTTTACTGTACACAAAGTAAGTGACTTCTGTTATCCATCCTTAGTCTATAGTCATTGACAGAATTTTTCTTTAGTATTTTCATGCTTTAACCATTGATTTCTTCCCATGCTGCTGAACTTTTTTGATACAGAAGATGCAACACATTGCCTCCATGGTTGCAGGGAAGGCCCTGTATAAGCACTATCAGAGTGCTGATCGCTACATTTGGGATCCTCTTTAGCATTCCTTCAGAAGAAGACAACTTTTGGCTGCAGCTGGACATGCCTGTGGAAGAGTCTGTCACATGCACACACAGAATGACTCTGACATTCAGATGCTGCCACTGTGTATGTGTGGTTTGGCTGCAGTCCAAAGCACTGATTGTGTCAGTTCTTCAACCATTCCCCACAGGGTGGGATGATGGTAACATTTAATTTCTTCTTTCTCTGAAACCATCCTAGCAAGTGCTCTAATGCAGGGACCTGATGACCAAGAGTTGTGAGAAAAGATAGAGCTGACTGAAGTCATGAGAACAGCTCCTACCTTAGCTGTGGCTGTGGTCTGCTGAGGCACAGTCCCTGTTGTCACTGCAAAATGATCATACAGTACATCTTGTATCTGTAACTGCTATCTCCAGGATCAATTGCAACAACAGCTCTAGCTCAGCACCTGTAATTCAGACACTGATAAAGTTATTTTATTTGGAAGTTAGAAACTTAACTTCACTAGACTCACAAATTTTTGAATTTTCTTCATGTAATTAATACGCTAATCTGATATTTATTTTTTTTTTCCCAAGAACTTTTAATTAAAATTAAAATACTAGTCATGCAGTGGCTGCCTGCAAACTCATTGTATGTTGGGTAAGAGTTCATATTAAGTTTGAGAAGTAAGCATTTATTAGAGATAGATATTGATAAAGTTGGCTTCTTTATCACATTACAGCTTCAATTTGGTTTACCTTCAATCTGGGCACCCCTGGTGTCTGTAATCTGTGCACAACTGTTATTTTGAACTCAAGAAAATTAAGACTGCTGTCTTCTGCATTCAGTTCTTAAGTACACTTTTCCATATAATGAGAACTCTCCTTTTTCAAGTGAATAATATAGTGGCAGGAAATAACTGATGTACTATAGGGCCATATGGATGCAGTTTGGGAAGACATTCACTATACTGGTTCAGCTGTCAGCTATCATGGTTATTTTGCTTCCTGCTGGTGAATAATGATCTCTCTGTGGTGACATGTCTTCATGCTGAAATGGTATCTTGGCAAGGAGCTGAGATACAATATGTTTTTATTTTTTTATGTTTCAACATCAACTGTGCAAAAATATGTCCAAGGGTTCATTTGTCACTGAATAGAATCCCTGCTCTGGTTCACAAACTGCCCTCTTTCTCCTCCTTCAAATATCTTCTTAAACCCATTTCTTTGAAGAGACCTTCTTGCTGCCTTCTTCTGAACATCTGCTGTCTGTGCAATTTCCCAAACTCATTTTTTTGTAGTTTTTGCCTAACATGTATTTTAAACTACTTAAAATAGGGTAGGTCTTGATTTATTATGTTTATAGAATGCCATGCTGAGTAGTAGGGCTATAGATATGACTTCTCAATAACATACTTAACCAGGATATTTGCATTTCATTTCCAGAGCCGTTGTTTCACTCCTTTTCCACTGCTTCTTTTTGTATTGCAGGATGTCCCCTAGGGTTTTACGGGAAGGACTGTGCACTGATATGCCAATGTCAGAATGGAGCTGACTGTGACCACATCAGTGGGCAGTGCACCTGCCGCACAGGGTTCATGGGGAAGCATTGTGAGCAGAGTAAGTAGGGATGGGAATTGTCCATGCATGATAGCAAATATTAAACCCTGAGCCAAACCTCTGTTGTTTTGGCTGGTGTTGTGATACAACCTCTTCACTTTAGTGAAAATTTTGATGGGGAAAGAGCTTCAGGAGTTGGACCTAAGCTTTTTCCAAACAGATCAAAGCCTGCAGAATTAGTTATTAAGACTGGTTCCGATTGGAATGGCTGTTTCTTTCAATTTATAGCTACATGTAAGATGCATTTGTACTTCATTCTAGTTGCTTTGGACATAGTGCTAAAAAACCCCAACAACTCTGTCTTGTAAGTGTAACAAATGAATCGAAGTAATTGTCATTAGCATAAACCACAATGAAAACTAATAGAAAAGTAAAGAAGTACATCAATCCTAGAGGATAAAATTAATTTTATGATGTGATTTTACAAAACAATTTGATGATAAAAGCATCACCATTTTGTTTTCATATGTGCGTGATTCTTTATCCTAGGAAAACAAGAATAACACCACTGACATCAACAGTGTTACAATGTTGTACAATATTAAAAGAATAATCGGGCTTTTGGCCCAAGTTTTGCTAATGCTACAGAGTGGTGCTGCCACCCTTCATGGATTATATTGCATTGCAAAGCAGTCTTTTCAACCTGCTAAATTATAAAAAATAATTTTGAATACTTCAGGAAATCTAGCTTTATAATTAAGTTTTATAGATTTTATACTTCATAGTATAATCTGATAATGATTTAACAATATTAAACATTTTTGCATTTCTGAATTTGAATTTAAATTTTAAAAATGGACTTTTCATTTCAGTTCAGATTTCAAAATGCCAAAATACATTATAGTGTGATGGGGTTTGCCCAAACATTGTCTTCATTACTTACAATCTTGTTTTACTGGGTATACCCAAGAGAAGGAGAAGGTATATAAGCATAAAATTCCACTTGAGTCTAGATTTACCAAGATTGTAAGAATATTTATCTGGCATCCAATGTGTTACATTATCTTGTAAATTATTTCTAAGTTAGAAATACATAAAAGATGTGGTATATTCTTTTAAAGATGAAAACCAAATTAATATAGTTACAAAGTCCTGAGAGATTTCAGAAAATTGAGTCTCAGAAGGTGAAGAAATACCACAAATTCCTCAAACCGTCAGAACTACAGTAATGCAACCAGCCACACCCTAACAGAGGTGGTGGTATAGAGGAAATAATTTTTATCAGTGTAGGATAATTCCCTATCATGCTGATTACATGATGTAGAAAACACTTTGATCAGTAATTAATTACTGTATTGAAGTCATTTTGCATGAGAAAAAAAATAACATAAAACTCTTCCAATGATCTTATTTTTCATAATTTACCATTTTTCTCCTGTAGGTAGTTCCTTAATGTATACATTGCAGCACCAAAATATGCTGTAGGCATACTCTTACTACATCAGCACATCTGTCATATGACATAACACTAGCCAGATGTCTGGTTCCACTCGTATGATTATGTGATATTTCAAGAAGGGATCTGAGTAACCTGCGAGACTTGACATTCTGGTGTAAAACTGGCACTTTGTTGCCAGTTTAAAGGGTCTTCTACCTTTTAAATGTTGGCGTTTGTGGGGGTTCTTTGTTTGGGGCACAGGTAAGATTTTGTTGTTGTTTTGGTTTATTTATTTTATTTTATTTTCTTTCTTAAGTTCATTGCCTCGGCGACAGCAACAGTACAAGTAAAGGAAAATCACTTCTGAATACAATCTCCTTTCCCACGCATACACACACATACCGACAGGACCTCTCAGGAACATCCTGTTAGGTCTACTACTAATAACACATTGCCATCTGCTGGCCATGTATAAAAACGTATGAGGTTAGAAATGTATGGTACCATGTAAAGCGCTGTAGATCTGTAACACGAAAACATTTAAGAAGTACTGTGTCTGATGTTTATTTGCACTTATTTTGTGCAGAATGTCCTCAAGGCACATATGGGTATGGATGCCGGCAGATATGTGACTGTCTGAACAACTCAACTTGTGACCACATCACAGGAACATGTTACTGCAGCCCAGGCTGGAAAGGGGCCAGGTGTGATCAAGGTAAAACCTAGATGCAATAAAATTATTGCAATTGTTTTATATAAAACTTGGATTAATATATTAAATGCCATATCTATATTATTCATTAAATTAACCTGATAAGGCATGTGTGTTTAAACAGTCCATTCTATTAAATTATACATGTTCTGTAGATTTTTTTAAATATTAAATGCCTCAGTGATAGTTTGTTGGAGCAAAGAATTCAAGTGTAGATTTCATAACATGTTTTGCAGTGCTCTGCTGTCCCAGGCTGCTCATAGAGCATGTGCTTTACCTGCTCTCTGCTTTTGCCTAGTGAGTGTTCTTACTTTTTCAGCTCCATGAAAATATCTCTTTCTTTGAAGAAGATTAATGCTTTTCCTTAAGGCTAGGATTGTCTTCATATTGCTTTCTGACATAGTTTTATTTTGGCATTATTAAATGCAGTTAAATTAGCAGAAAGGTTTAGAAGTGAAATATTGTCTTCTGCTTCTGACACATAAGCCTCTGAATTTATGCCACATATTTTCATTTCTTCTTGTATTTCAGCTGGTGTAATTATAGTGGGAAACTTGAACAGTTTAAGCCGTACCAGTACTGCCATCCCTGCTGATTCTTACCAGATAGGGGCTATAGCAGGCATCATTATTCTTGTCCTGGTTGTGCTTTTCCTGCTAGTGCTGTTCATAATTTACAGACAAAAGCAGAAAGGAAAAGAAACAAATATGCCTGCAGTGACCTATACCCCTGCTATGAGGGTCATCAATGCTGATTACACCATTTCAGGTAAGTGGTATTTGGAACAGGGCTTTGTCTCTTGATCTTGTGCTCGTTTAGCTGAGCTCTGAAGTGGTTCAGCTGTGCCCCCAACAGGGCTTAATTGTGCATGCTTCACGTTTCTGCATTAGTGAGCAGGAACATACTTGATTTCAGAAAAGGATGACTGCAGTTCTGCCTTGGAAGCTTTCCTGGAAGGGGAGGCTGGGGAGGGGTTCCCTGTTTAGGAAGGGGAAGAGTGAGACACTGCTCTCACCTGCCTTTCACAGGAGAGAAGCCCCTGAGACCAAATTGACAGCAGTGCTGGTGAACTAGCACACTAGACCAGTGGGATGCAATAGTAGACTTGTGTGCTTACCTTTCAGCTATCAGGGACACTTCACCTGAGTTCAGAATGACTCTGTGCCAGCATCTACAGCTGCTTAGCTTGTTCTGCATCATAGTCTTTTAATCTCTGCTTTTGATACTATGAACATGGCTTACCCTGGTAAGATAAATTAACTGTTAAGAAACAAGTGCCAATACACCTTGCTTACACTGTGTAACCTTTTGAACCCTCAAATGTTTTTTCTGCACTAAAATGTGGAAGTATGCACGTTTCTATTCCTCTTTGCTTATTTTTAAACAGAATTGAAAAGTGTGGCAAAAAATAGTTTCTACACACAATGCCAACAGCTTGAATACAGACAGACTGTTACAGCTGTAGAAAATCAGGATTTTACATTAGTTGTGGCAAGATTCTGTAGAGAGGCAGATAGCAAAGTGGCTTAAGTTTAAAACAAATTAAGAGAAGGAGCAATGCTCCTGAAACAGAAGTTTTCGACCTATGAAAGTGCATGTGGATGGGTACATGAAACTATGTGGCATATATAACAAGTATAGAGATATGCCTTCAGTACTTTCCTAAATATACAATTATCAGCATAGAAACCTTCTCAACCAAAAGGTGTATTTATATCACAGTGTTTAATAACCATTACCGTAAATTGAGAATAGATTTTTACCTATTCTGTTTCTTCGCTTCTACTCCTTTGTACGTTGAGCGAAAACCTGCTTGCTCTGTTAGGTTTAAACTCGCTTACTATAAACTTATTAGGTACCCTTGCTTTTATTAGGAAGAACAGTGAGTACTTCTTTCTTTGCCTTCTGTATATTTTTATGATTTTATAGATCTTTAACATACTCTCTTTTCCACCATCTGTTTCCAATCCAGAGAAGATTGAGATTTGAAACTTCAGGCAGTGACTAGTCAGTTACTATCTCTAATTTCTTCAAATGGATGCAAAATTTTTAAACTTTTTTTTTTTTTTTTTTCCCAAGAAACTGTATCAGATTCTGAAATCAGGACAGTACTGTCAAAAACATATCCTGAGAAAGAAATGCCATGTTATTTTTAATTGTTTATTTGTATTTCTTTTCCATTTCAGAAACCATTCCTCATGGTAGTGGTGGAAATGCAAACAGTCACTATTTCTCTAATCCTAGTTATCATACTCTAACTCAATGCACTACCCCACCTCATGTCAACAGCATGGACAGGCTGACCCTGGCAAAGGTAAAGCACAAAAATCTGGATCCTTTTGTGTAAATGAGCCTTTGATTTGCTTCCCTAATGTTTCTTGTTTAGTTTAACTTTCCCTGATTATCACATGGAAATTCAGCAACTTTCCATCAGTTTCAGTTTCTATAAAGTATCTTTCTTTGATACAGGCAAAAAACAGCCAGCTGTTTGTGAACCTTAAAAATGTGGAACCTGGAAAACGAGGCAACATCATGGACTACACAGGGACACTGCCAGCAGACTGGAAACATGGTGGCTACCTCAATGAGCTTGGTAAGAAGGAAAAATAAAACAATAAGGAGAATGTGAATGTTACTCAGTGTGTTTGAGATAAAAAAGTAACTCCTTTTGAGGAACAGTGAATCAGTCACAGCAAATCAGTCTGATGCCCAATGGAGACAAGATGTGCAAAGTATCTCATTTTTATAAAAAGATTTGCTTATCAATTAGTTTCATAAAATAATGGGTACTGTACAGTAAGGGTCTGTTTTTTTGTACAGTTTTTACACTGTACAAAAATTACATATTCTTTTTAAATAAATTAGGGGTTGCATATAGATTAGTAACCAAGTAAGTGCCAGGTCTCTGAAGACAGTTGTCAGGCACTGCTGATTGCAAATGTTTACATTGGGATTTATATTGAGAGAAATCTGTTACTAACAGATAATTGCAAAGCTGTAGACTTAGACAATAGGTGTTTAGGCCATTTGTGCAGGCCAAGGGACTGGAACAGAATGACTTTGGGCAACACAATGGGAGTGGTTAACTTTGGAAGCGAAGTACCAAGAAATGGAGCTATCTTCAGGTCAAGACAGGATGCCTTTCTGGTAGATACAGTTTATCCAGACTAAAAATACTCTTTAAACAAACAGCAGTTATTAGGCTCATACAAGAGTAACTGGGGAAACGTAATGGCCCATGACATATGTGAGGTTGAACTAGCTTATTCCATGGTGCCTTATGACCTTAACCACTTTCCCTGTTCAGAAAGCTACTGTTTGAAAGCATGCAAGCAAGTAGTAACAATGCTTCTGTACCCCTGTATCAGGCAGTTTCACAGGGCTTATAAGAGAATTATTCTGTTGAGGTAGAAATTAGTCCCAAGGCAATTTTAAAAGCTTTAGAAGTCGTTATCTAATCATTTTTCTAAAACTATTCTGTTTATTTGTGTTGTTTTTCTCAGGTGCTTTTGGACTTGATAGGGGATATTTGGGAAAGTCCCTGAAAGGTGAGGTGATTTTCTGATGCATTTACGTGAATTGTGTAAACAGTCAGTTTACTCTTCTAATTTATCTTTGGTTTCTGTGTGAAGAAAACATAAAATAATTTTGGACTAAGTTATTCCTAGACATTAAATCAATGCATGAATTTTTATTTTTTTTTCTTTTGAGTGGCAGGTTTAAATAAAATAAAAAAAATCCCAACAAACTACAAAAAAACAAAACAACAAGCCAAGCCTTTTTAAGTTCCCTATGTGTCACATCCATCAAATGTTTCTGTAATAGCTGAGTCACAAAATAGTCCTATTCTAAATAGCAGAACAGGGATGGCCCTTGAAATCAGCCTAGAGAGCCAGGTAAGGATGCGTGCTGCCTCTGAAAGGCTTTAAAAGAGATACATAACAACCCCATGCAGCACTACAGACCTTGGAAAGCGTGGCTGGGAAGGTGATCCATGGAAAAGGACCTTGGGGTGCTGACTGATGGAGCTGAACATGAGCCAGCTTGGGCCCAGGCAGCCAAGAAAGCCAATGGCATCCTGGCCTGTATGAGCAATAGTGTGGCCAGCAGTGCCAGGGCCTGCACTCGGCACTGGTGAAGCTGCACCTCAAATCCTGTGTTCAGTTCTGGGCCCCTCACTACAAGAGAGACACTGAGGAGGTGGAGTGGGTCCAAGAGAAGGGCAATGAAGCTGCTGAAGGGTCTGGAGAGTAAGTCTTATGAGGAGCAGCTGAGGGACCTGGGGGTGTTGAGTCTGGAGAAGAGGAGGCTCATGGGGCTCTCTCAACTACCTGAAAGGAGGTTGTAGTGAGGTGTGGGTCAGTCTCTTCTCCCAAGAAACAAGCGTCAGGACAAGAGGTAATGGCCTCAAGCTGCACCAGGGGAGGTTTAGATTGGATGTAGGAAAAATTTCTTCACAGAGAGGGTGATCAGGCATTAGAATAGGCTGCCCAGAGAATTGCTGAAATCACCATCCCTGGAGATACTTAAAAGATGTGTAGATGTGGTGCTTATGAAAAGGTTTAGTGATGGACTTGGCAGTGCTGGGTTAACAGTTGGACCCAGTGAACTTAAAGGTCTTTTCCAACCTAAACAATTATATGGTTAATGGAAGCCCAATTAAAAATATATTAAAGCAGTCACAAAGTTAAGCACCTACCCACTGACAGGTTCACTAAGGTTGGTCTCATACTACATATTCAGAGTCAGGAACAAGCTGAGAAAGTGTCAGCTCTAGAGCTTAAATAGCATAACACAGAACAACACAGAAAACAAAGGAACACAGACACCACAAAATCTCTTCCCAGCATAAGAAAACACATCATCTCTTAAACTAGTTATCCGTTCTTCAGTTAAAACCTGAAATAACAAGCCACCTGATGTTTTCTTTTCAGTTCTATGTGCACCTTACAGAAACTTTTAAGAAGCTGGTTACTCTTCCAGTGTGGCCTCATACTCAAATTCTGATAGGATCATAGAGCAGTTATGGTTAGGAAAGACCTTAAGATCATCTAGTCCCAAACCCCTGTCATGGACAGGGATGCCTCACACTAGACCATGTTGCCCAAGGCTGTGTCCATCCTGGTCTTGAACACTGTCAGAGATGGAGCATTTCTTTGGGCAACCCATGCTGGTGCCTCACCACCCTTCACAGTAAGGAACTTCTTCCTTGTATCTAACTTGAACTTCCCCTGTTTAAGTTTAAAGCCATTAACCCTTGTCCTGTCACAACAGTCCCTAATGAAGGGTGTCCCCCCCCGGCAGCATCACTGTAGGCCTGCTTCAGATACTGGAAGGCTGCTATGAGGTCTCCACGCAGCCTTCTCTTCTCCAGCCTGAGCAGCCCCAACTTTCTCAGCCTATCTTCATACGGGGAGGCGCTCCAGTCCCCTGATCATCCTCATGGCCCTCCTCCAACAGCTCCATGTCCTTTTTATGTTGAGGACACCAAAACTGCACACAGTGCTAAAAGTGGAGTCTCATGAGAGCAGAGGAGAGGGGCAGGAACACCTCCTTCGACCTGCTGGTCACACTCCTTTTGATGCAGTCCAGGATACAGTTGGCTTTCTGGGCTGAGAGTGCGCACTGAAGCCGGCTCATGTTCAGTTTCTCATCTAACAACACCCGCAAGTCCTCGTCCACAGGGCTGCTCTGAATCTCTTCTCCTCCCTACCTGTAGCTGTGCCTGGGATTGCTCCGACCCAGGTGTAGGATCTTGCACTCTGCATTGCTGAACTTCATGAGATTGGCATCAGCCCACCTTACAAGTGTGTCAAGGTCCTTCTGGATGGCATTCCTTCCCTCCAGCGTATCAACTGAACCACGCACCTTGGTGTCATTGGCAAAGTTGTTGAGGGCGCACTCAATCCCACTGTCCATGTCACTGACAAAGATGTTGAACAGGATCAGTCCCATCACCAATCCCTGAGGGACACCACTTGTTACTCCTCTCCATCCATTGACTGCAACTTTCTGCATGTGGCCATCCAGCCAATTCTTCATCCACCAAGTGGTCCATCCATCAAATTGATGTCTCTCCAGTTTAGAGACAAGGATGAGCAGGACAGTGTGAAACACTTTGCACAAGTCCAGGTAGATGACGTCAACTGCTTTGCCCCTATCCATCAGTTCTGTAGCCCCAACATAGAAGGCCACCAAATTGCTCAGGCATGATTTGCCTGTCACCAGCCACCTCATTGTCTTTCACGTGCCCTAAAATGGTTTCTAAGAGAATCTGCTTCAAGATTTTGCCAGGCACAGAGGTGAGACTGACTGGTCTGTAGTTGCCTGGGTCATCCATTTTCCCCTTCTTGAAAATCAGGGTTATATTTCCCTTTTTCCAGTCATCATGAACTTCACGTGACTGCCATGATTTTTCAAATATGATGGACAGCAGCTTAGAAACTTCATCCTCCAGCTCCCTCAGGACCTGTGGATGGATTTCATCAGGTCCCATGGGCTTGTGCACATTCAGTTTCCTAAGATGATCAAACTGGCCATCCTTAATTTCACCTTACCATTTGCCCAGACACTGCCATTGGGAATAGTCTTAGATCACTTAATTTAATAGTGTCCTGAGTTTAACAATTAGAAAGGCAAAAAGTATTCTGAAGTTCCTCTTAGAAACTGATTCTACACATTTTCTGTAGTTAATTCTGGCTACTATTTTAATGAGAACTGAAGGTTCTCAGACCTTGTAAAAGAAATTTCCTGCTGGCAAGATCAAGCCCATGAAAAATCATACCATTAGAGGTACTTTGCACTATAATAACTTTGAAGTGTTATAACTGGTTTCCACTTAAATAATCATTTATGGCTAAGTTTTTTGAACTCAGAATTAAAGAATGTCCTGGTTAGCAGCAATGTCCATAGTACGTAGCATGCTTGAGAGAACAATGTGTTTTAATTTTTGCAGATCTAGTGAAGAACTCAGAATACAATTTAAGTAATTGCTCTTTAAGTAGTTCTGAGAACCCATATGCTACTATAAAAGACCCACCGGCTCTTGTACCAAAAAGTTCAGAATGTGGATATGTTGAAATGAAGTCACCAGCACGCAGGGACTCCCCATATGCTGAGATCGCCAGCTCTGCTTCAGCCAACAAGAACATTTATGAAGTTGGTGAGTACAAAATCTACTTCCAGATGTTGGAAGGCTAAGAACAAAGACCACAGGGTTTTTATTCTTTGAATTATTCTAAACAGAACACATGAAAAATTACTGAAAAAAAAAAGATGATGCATTCAGATTCTGGTTTCTGCTCAAAAGCTGTAACAATCTCATTCTTTTGACATAAGCATTATAATTCGCAAGAACAGAGTTTGAAATACCTTCAGCTCTGTTTTGTAACCTGGAGGTACCTCTGTTTAAACAACAGTATAACATAAGCTTAGCATTTGACTGCAATATAATTCAATGCTAGATTAGGCTGTCAAGTACTGAATACAGCTGGATTAAGTTTATGGGAGGAATAGGAAAGATCTGTTTCCTCCCCTTGGTCAGAAAAAACAGCATCTTCACCGACAGACGTAGTAGTTAATTGATATGGGCTCCATCTAGCTACTGTTTTAGTATAGTTACAGAAAACTTTGGGCTCGTGTGGAAAGGTAGTTGTCCTAATGGTGTTTCTAAGGATTTTTATGAAATCTTGAATAAAAGTTGTGGGTGTTTTGGGATTTTTTTGTTTGTTTGGTTGGTTTTGGTTTTGTTTTGCTTCCTTTTTTTTAGGTCTCTTTTTTTTTTTTTCTTTTTCGTTTGTCCACACATAAAAAACAGATGCTGGTCCACTTGCCTCTGTCAGTAAACATACTCATGGCAGGGCCCTGTTGCAAGCCCACAAGTGTAACTTACTTTAAAGCCAAGACCCCTAAACATCAGCCTTTGTTTTTACACCTGTATTTCAGGACTAAGCCTGACAAGCAATCTCTATATTGATGCAGAAAGGAGGGGATATATTTTAATGTGAACTGAAATGAAATACAGTGTTTGCCTTCTCTTTTGCCGCTTCTGGTGTTAAATGTGCTTTCTTTTATCACAGAACCTACGGTGAGTGTTGTCCAGGGAGCATTCAGCAGCAGTGGACCTTTCAGCCAGGATCCTTATGATCTTCCAAAAAACAGCCATATTCCATGTCATTATGACTTGCTACCAGTTCGAGATAGCCCCAAATCCTCTGCAAAAGGGGTCAGCAGTGAATGACCCCAAAAGCTGATGTGTAGCACAGTGGGACTCTGAAGGGGCAAAGTGGCATGGTTGTGCTCCTTCCTCTAGTTCTACCATTATATTTGGCTCCTAATCTGTCCAGCAGACAATTGCTGTACATTAAACAGAATCTCAACATGAGGTTTGTATTGTGTATACAAGTGACAGATGGACAAATGCCACACTCTGGGGATCCTCTTCACGCTTTTTTTTTTCATGGCAGTAAATTTTATAGAAACAGGTATGCAACACATTTATACTGAAATATACTGGCTTAAAAACATTAGTTTGCAGATCAGTGTTGATAACAACCCATTTCAACAGTTTTAAATATAGACTTCATGTTTGTCACGTTTGAGGAGAAGTACTCCCAGGACACTGCAATTTACCAAATACCACTTCATGTAAGTGATCTGAGTTACTAGTTATGCAGAAGAAAAACTGCCTTGCCAAATTTTACCTTCCATTCTGATCTTTAGTCAAGACATACTAAGAGACAAGATCTGATGGGGATAAGTAAGCACAATTCTGCAGTTTGGGAAATCCATCAGTACACGTTTTTGTCCATTACTGGTGGTAGGCATACCATATTGAATATTTTTGCAGATAAAATCATTGTGTACATCCATATTACATGCCTCAATATCTCTTGGTACTGCAGCACCAGTCTTCAATGAATCTTTTGCTACTGTTCATATGCTGCAGTTCTGACCACTGTTTCTGCCGTATACAAATAATCCATAACATATCAGTAATCACTTCAGAAATATGTAACTTAAATCAGTTTATTTTTGTCACCATGGACTGTTTATGTAAGGAGTGGACAAAGGTGATGACTGCTGTAAATCTTAACTGCAAGGAAGGGTTTACATTTTATAAACAGGTAGTAATAATGACTGTAATATAGAATAAAAACAGTAAAGTGTTGTTTTCTTTCTTAGAAATAACTAAGCAATCTCTGTGCATATTTGCTCAAAAGGCACCTTTTCTTTTTTATAGTTGATGTAGGGAAACATGCTTAAGCTGGTCTTTTGCATTGCTAATAACGTGCTCCCCATTCTTCATTAACTTGTGTCTCCATTTTTACGCTGTGTGTCTGTGTTTTTAGTGATCTGTCTTGTAACTGCAAAAGTACTCCACTGTGTGTCCATTTCTTTTGCATTTTTGCTAACTGGACTTTATTTTATCTGGTTATAGACACCTCTGTGCAGGAGGAGAGTACTAAAGTAAGAATTCCTGTCATACTGATCTCTGTCAGAGGTAGTTAGCATAGTAGTTTAACTTAACAAATTAACTAGGAAAAAAAAAAATCCAAACCAACAAGATGGTTTTTTTGAGGATAATAAGACGAATGCAGGAAAAAAGTAAAAACAGTCCCTCTGTGAAGTTTAGCGCATTCTGTTGACTGTATGGATGGAGACAATCTTTCCAAAAGGCTCCTTTTTCTCCCTTCAAAAGAGTCTTGTTTTTTAAGTGCACAGTTCAGTGGAAATTAAATTTGCCAAGGTATCCATGTATTGAAGGAAAATTGTTGCCCAGACATGTCAGCCTAAAAAAAAAATAATGGTCGATACAGGTTGGACATTCTCTTTCCGTCGAAAGTTACCTTTAGAAACCTAAAAATGATGTCGCAATATTATTTCAGCTGCTGTTGCTGTCAGTGATGCTACCTGCTAATCATAGTCCAGCAGGCAGTAACATTACCCTGGCAAGCTTTTTCACCTTGCCCTGGTGGTACTCTGTAGCTTCTTGTGAATAGCTTGTCCTAGGGGTTGGTATATCCCCAACTGATGAAGAAAGGACACAAGTGGTTGCATTATATGACATATAAGGGAAAGCACTAGTCCTCTTTCTGCGTTTGGGGTCACATTTTGGCACATGAGACCTGTGATAATGATGATAGGAAAGGCAGTCAATAGGTTAAGAATTCTGTGTATGTGCTTCCCAACTTAGCACAGAGAGTGCCACAATTTTTATTGTTACATCTGGACTGTAATACAGTCTGAGACAAAGTCTTATCGCTATTGTGAGAACATTGATATATTCTGAAGAAAATCACAACCAGTTGCCTTTGGAATACTAAATGCAACAGAGGATCAACTGGAAGAAAAACTGGAAAAAAAATTGGATTATTATTTTTGTTTTTTTTAAAAGGAACCCCAGAGCTGAAATGGAAATACAGTTTGCTTTTAGTTGTTGTCACTGAAGTGGTGATAAATGAGAGATCTGCAACTGAAGACATCATTGCGGATGTGTCCAAGCCTGAGAATGTATATGCCTGCATGAAGTGCACCGTGACATACTTAGTTCTTTCTAGCCATAAGCACTGGCTCTTTTGCAATTCCCTGGGCATTTCTTATATATCTTTGGAATAAATAATTTGATTATCTTTGCATTTTGCAAGTACAGAAATTAACTACAAGACTTCAAAAGCCAGTTACAATTTAATCCTTCTGTAAGGCAAAAGTATTGATTTGGTTTGTGTGCATATAGATAACATGTAGAGCTACTGGTATATACTTGTGTTTGTACCTTATGAAACAGACTTTAAAATAAAACCTTTCTTCTCTCAAGCCATGAATAGCAAATGCTGTATTTAGCAACTGTGAGCTCAAACAAACTTATTTTTCTTCCTCTGTGTAAAATTCGGAGACCGCAGATGATCTTCGTAATATAACCAGTTCCTTTTTCATGTGAAAAAGTGAACAGCTGAATAGACTACAATCGTTTGGAAATTTCCATAACATCACATATCCTCAAGTGATATATTCAGCCAAATATTCGTGAAAACAGATGAGTTTCTGATAATGTTGCCTATTTTATGTTCTAAATATATGCATTACCAAAGTCTGCCTTTCTATTTGTGGGTTAAACTCCTGCTGCATAGTCAGCATTAAGCAATACCTGCATATATCTGAGCAGGATTTGCAATACACATTGGTGAAGTAAATAGCTTGTGAATTTATTTCAGTGAATGATCTTTGGTAGACACTTAGAAAACAGACTGCCTGCAGGGGTAATGTATTCTTGTTAAATGATGGCAGTGTATCATTCCAAAGGAAAAAAGTGCATGGGACTCACATTAGCAATCCTGCTGTTTCCTATATGGCTAGGGTGTATACTCTGCTGTCAATTTAAGACAACCCCAACTCAATCCTTATGACTGACACACAGCCCTCTTTGTATCACAGTATGCTCTTCAAGAGAGCTTAAATATCTTTGAGCATACATGCTATACTGTCCTGGATACAATAATTTTAGCAAACACCATCTACTCAGAGAATTGGCTTCACCACAGACAGTAATGGAAAGAGATGCCTTGCCTCTATATATTCACATTACAACAAGAAACATAGCATTGAAAATGGAGATAGCTATCCCTTAGCAACTTGTTATCAGTTTAATGAAGTGCAAAATGCTGCACAAAGTTAATAGCTGGTTTTAAAGTAAGTAGTGAGTATAAACTTTAGGTTTTAAATAATATAGGCATATTAATTCTGGTCATTTAGAAGCATCGTAAACCTGAAAGCTTTTTACTATATCAAAGATTTTTAATCACAACACACTGCTACACATAAAATTTTGTCCTTATCTCCCATTAATTTGAATTGGAGATGTACATGCAGATTAGAGGAGAAAGATTTCATTGTACTCGTACTTTCTGTTGAGACAACCTGCAAAGTCAAGTTTATACTGAAGTGAAGTTGGGATAAAATCAAAAGTGGGGAACATGTTATTTAAAATATACTGAATTTTTCAAGTACTGTGACTTCAATTGAAATTTTTATTAGATATGTGTCCAAATAATAATCCTTAAACTGAAGCTCTAAAGTCCAGACTAAAGAATACAGAGCTAATTTTGACAAAAATGCTTTATATTAAAGATTATATATATAGTGGTTAAAATTACTAAAGACACAAGGGTGCATGTTTGTTAATTAATGTATAGAAAATCATGTAATTTGGTACACTTATTAGTGCTAGAGCACTGAACCTAACTCTTCTATGTCCAGTTTTTTAGCCCACAAGACTTCACTTTGATATGATTGAACTGTAATGTATTTTTAAAAAAACCTATCAAGTATGCTTGGCTTCTTTTCTTAGCTGTAACAAAAAAAAAGTGTTCTGTTGTGAAAATATATCTATTTTCCAAAGATGACTGATGTTCATCATTCTGCCCTTCACTACCATTTATTTCACTTCACACACCTGTAGGTTAATGTAATAAAGTTTCTAATGAAAGAAATACTTTGATTTTTTTTTCGTTTTTCATTTCCTTTGGATGGAAATAGCATGGGAAATACAGAAAATATTACCCTTGTCCATGCTGGACCACCAAGCAATATATTTTATTTTCCCTTTTTTTAGAAAGCAGGTAGTTTATGAGATGCTATGCAGAAAATCAAGGTTCATATTGAACTGTGGAACTTGTGTGATTACTGCCTGTTCCTGAAGGAATTAGTTATGTGAACAGGGTGATGCTTTCCAGCCTGTCCCTTGAATACTTAAAATTTTAACCTTGATTAAGATGGAGACCTGGGTTGCCAAAAGCAAGGCATTTTCCCTTTTTGTTAGGATATTAGCCTTGGATTAACCCTTAGAAAAACAGTTAACCAAAATACAAACACAACTTAAAAGGGGTAACATACATAATTTCTTTTTTATTACTCTGACACCCCCAAACATGGATCTACAACACTGGCTACCGGTAGATGAGGTGGGAAATTTTTCTTTCCTATCACAGTTTAACAATGAGAGACTGACATTAAGAACTCATACTAGAAACATAGAGTGGTTTGGATGGGAAGGAGATGACGGTAGTCTGTGACACAAGCAGGCCTGTGACACCCTGTGGGAGTGAGCAGTGGAGCCCAGATGGCTGGCAGGCAGTGCTGGAGTGCATGGAGGGCCTGTGGGACTTTGTTCTGCAGCTACCCAGGGAAGCACAAGATGTTGCTGAGTGAACCAGATGTGCCTGGAGATGTCTGCCGTGGCCACAGTGACCTGACATGGTTTGAGAAGACACAACTGAGGCCTTAGTGGTTGGCATGGAGTACTTATGCCAACTGTTCAGTGCAGCTCTCCATGCCTGACTCCAGCTCTGTCAGAGGATTCTCCCCAGCCCGGCCAGGTTCAGGCAGCCAGTAGACCCCCAGAGCTGAACTAGCAGCAGCAGAGGTGAGCTGGGTGGGGAATCCTCACCTGGGGTGGTGAGCTGTGGGTGTTTCCTTTTTAGAGGGACCTGGGCATTTCTTCCACCCTCCCCAAGCCAGCCAGTGACCACGGCCTCTCTTCCTTTCTGGTGTGATGCCTCCTGCTGCAGTGGCGATGAGAGCCACCTTCACCACAGCCCCAGCTCACTGCTGCCCACGAAGAGCGTGGCTGCAGAGCTGGACAACTGCTGTCCAGCATGCCTGGAGAGCTGTGTACTGCCATGTCTCCACCAATTCTACCCATGCATCCTGCACTGCGCTGAAAGCAAGCCTGAGTGCCCTCTCTGCAAGAGGACTATCGTTTCTATCATGCCCTCTGTGCGGGCTGATGACGACTTTGTCACACCATCTGCGGCATCATGTGTCAAAAGCAGCCATGCAGGAGCTCCATAACCATCCCACTGCTCACAGCCCTGCAGCAACAGAACGACGGTTTACTGAACACCAGCAGCCCAGGTGGCTTCCAGCCACACACCTGGCTCTTCCTTTACCAGCTCCCTTCCACCCCCTTCTAACCTGGCGTGCAAATGTAACGGGGGGAGAGCGGGCAAAAGGAACCCACGCACGGCACCGGCACCGGCACCGCTACCCAGCGGCGGGCAGGGAGCTCCAACTCCGCGACCCCTCCCAGCGGCAGCCCGCCGACGTGGCAAAAGAGGCGTTCCGCTCCGTGCTGCCGCCATGTTGGGTGTCGGGAGCGGCGCGCTGCCGAGGGACGCAGAGCGCGAACCCGCAACCCCCGCCAGGGGCAGAGGAACATGCCGCCAGGGGGCGCCCCGCTGCACGGCGGCAAGACACGGGACGGGCGGGTACGGGCGTAACGCCGCTAGACAGCTCCTCCGGAGACGTGGCAGCACGGGGCGGGGTCGCGCGCTGGGGTTGCTGGGAGTTGTAGTTGACGCCCGTCGGTGCCTCCATTAATCGCCGGCCGGGTCTGGGCTGTGGTGTTCCTGCGAAACGAACGCAGCCGTGTGGGCCGCGGCGAGGGGAGACACCCGGCGGGAGGGCTGGCAGGTTCTGGAGCTTGAGCTCGGTGAGGCCGCGTGTCGTGGTGGGCAAAGCGTACACACTGGCACCCGTCGTCCCCGGCGGCGGGGAGGGAGTGGCTGAAGGGCTGGGCTAGGCCGGGCCGTGGCTGGCGGCAGAGTGCCTTCCCCGAGCCCCCGGGTGGCTGCTGCGGCAGTAGGGTATCGTTGGGTGCCGAAGCGGCTGGGGCACGTCTGGAGGTTAGGGCGAAGGGGCCGGGGACAAGGTGGGAGGCTATGGCATGCGGGGCAGGGGGAGCGCTTAGGTGTTCAGGGGCGTGCCGTGTCCCTCTCCCTGACCTGCCGGCCTAGGCCGCGTCGCTCCGGCTGCCTGTCATTGCTGGGGCCGTGGCCCCTACTGCCAGCCCTAGCGGGCGTGTGCGTGCATTTGAGCGCGTAAAGGCCCCCGGCCGAGCTCCTGTAGCCGTGTAACCTGTCGCTTTTCCCTCTTGGGCGGCATGCTTAGGCTGCATAGTGCATGCCCCTCACCGGGAGGGCAGCCAGAAGCCTGACCTTGCTCTGGGCACCATAGCTTATTCCGCATGTTTAGAGCCATCTTGCCCTTTTAGGGCAGTAGTGGCTCCTGGCCTACCTACTGACAGGAACGTGCCCTGGGGTTTGTCATAAGGTGGGGATTGTGGGCGGGTAAGAGACCTTACAGCAGGACTCGTTGCTGCTTCAGTGACTGGTGGCATTGCAAGCAAATGCATGTGCCAGCACTCCATCGAATTTACAGTTGGCTGATTCTAGTACCTTGCTAGGCCATGTCTACTATTCTGCTCTTTTGGGTCATTCAGACCGACCAGGCTTCTTCCAGGCACTGTGTAGAAAGTTGGATGTCTGGCCTCAGTGCTCTTGTGTTACAACCTTGCAGCTATGGGTGGAAATGCTGGTTCTGGTAAACCCTTGTGGTCTGAGCTTGAGTTAGCATCATAGTGGAAATCCTCTCATTTGAGGATTTGTTAGTATCTGATAGAAGTGATGTTTCATCAGGTTCATTAGTCCATGGAACTGTATCAGCTTTGTGATATTTGAAAATGTCTATTTGATTGGAAAGGGTGCGTGTGGTCTAGAACAAATTCTGATGGTTGAGAGTAGTACTAAGAATGTGGGAAACAAAATAATCTTCAGGGATTTATGAGGAAGCTTTTAAAACAGTGGGACTTCCTAGTTCTTACAAAATGTATCTATGGACAATGGTAACTGCAGTACTCTCAAGACCAACCACTTCTGGCATGTCTGGTGTTTTGAGGTATCTTGGTGCTGTGTAAGGTCTGTGGCAGAATCTACTAGATTCTGCTTGGTAATTTTTTTTATTTTTTTTTTAGGTGAAAAAGGCTCAACAGTATGCTATGAATATAAAACAGGTATAGGAGAGTTCTTTTTGTGTGTGTGGTTTTTATGCTTTTGTTTGTTTGGTTTTTGTTTTTGTTTTTTTTTGTGTGTGTGGGAGTTTTTGCTTGGTTGGTTGGTTGGCTGGTTTTTCTTTCCTTGCCTGCATAGCCCTCTTTAAGGCGTTGGACTTTAAAACAAGTCATTTAACACCAGGTGATTAAACTCATGATCCCCCTATGCCCTTCTTTTGGCTTCAGGGAGACTCTCTGTCTTCTGGAACTTGCTTGCATTTAGGAGACTGGAATCTGATGAAAATTTTATCCCTGTCTTTGTGCTCTCCCTTTCTAAAAAGGAATAAACCAATGTGAAGGATTTTTCAGATGAAACTTTAATGTACTAACAGTTCAACTCTGGTTTTGTTTAGTTTTAGAGTGTTATCTTTTTGGTAGGTGTCAGCTTCAGCTTAATAGCTGAAGACTTTTGTCATGTTTTTTCTTGCTTTCTTCTAGTCATTCTGTTTTTTCTCTCGTTTGTATCTCTGTGAGTTGTTGGGCTTTATTTCTCCTTTGATCTCTCCTGTTGAATCTCCTGTATGTGCCTGTAACTCTGTCTATCAGTTGATGTAACATTTTATTTGAAGATCTGGTTGCGCTGGGAATGACTCCAAACAATTTATTTGTTCAAATAAATAAATAAATGTGCTTTATTCCGGACAGCTTCAACTTGTGGTTAGCCATTAACAATTTGTGTAACCAATACTGTTACACTTAATTAATCGTAATAGGCAGAGCTATTTGCAGGAGAAGTTTAACAGCATTTGAATTTAGTTTTCCAGCTGTGGCTTTTTTTTCACTTTAGGCTCGGGTTTGAGAATAGTTCTGCTTCTTAGAATTCTGAAGTATTGTGGAGTGGGTTGCTTGGTTTTGTTTTTTTGTTGTTGTTTTTTTGTGTGTGTGTGTATGTTTTGTTTTAATTAGCAGAACCATCTTCAAAAATACAAGAAGGGGTTAATTAAGGGTGATTGAAAATATGGCTTCACTATAAATTCTAAAGTATGAATGATTTCTAGAGAGTATGTTTTGATCCATGTGAGATTTGCTAATCTCAATTTGTAGGTAATCATATTGTTAACTGTGAATATTTTGGAGTAATAACCTGAAGAATGCTTTTGAATGTGGTTATGCTGTTAAGATAATTGCAAAAGACTAGTGCAAAGGTGATTACTCCCTATTAAACTTAAGTCAAAACATGAGTAATTTTTCAGTTCAGCCTTTTAGTCTCTAAATCAAATTATTTTATTCCTATTTTAACATGAGCCGTGTTAAAATTTTCAGTTGGAACTTACACTGGTTTTCCTTTCAGTATACACAGGCCTTGCATTTGGGAATTAGGTTAATGGATGAGATTCAGCTGGTAGGAGTCTGTAAAGTATAGTTACTAGACAGCTATGGATAGACCTACTGATTCTGTGATTTAAATTAAGCGCATGCCTGGCAAGTCAGAAAATCAGGGTCAAAAAGGAGAAAAAGCCTTGACGTTTCATATAGTAACAAACCCTAGTGAAAGCTATAGAGATGTTCCTGACATAAAGGTCAATGTAATTAAAAAGAGCAAAACCCCAATAATGCATTTTTAGGTTCAGATTCCCAGAGTGCAGTGGTGAAGGAACAGAGAAGAGACAACATCCCAAAGCATCAGGCTGGATGTGGCCCTGAGATAGTTGAAGATGTCCTTTGAAGGTCCCTTCTAACCCAAACAGTTCTGTGATTGTGATATACTATGTATGCTGCCTGTTCTTTGTGTTATGTAGGTTTAACATCATCCTTGTAGTGTCTCCATTAGTACTTACAAAGATTAATTTTTTAACCAAATAAGTGATAGCAGCCTAACAAAATTCATGCTTCTACATCTTCAGTGGGTTATTTTGAGAATGACTTATTGTTGGGAATGTGTTTTTTCTATGCTTTTCTCTATTTTTATTTTCTGTATCTGCATAAACCAGAATTTTCTTCTACCTAAATGTGAGATTATCAAATTGGTGAAATTAATTTATGGTCACAAATCACTAGATGGCAGTACTGCTGTTATTTTCACCTAATTGTACTTCCTTCAGTTTGCTTGTCTCAGAGTTTCGCCTTTGTTTCTTCAGTTTAGTAATACAAAGTGTTCTAGTTTGCAGGAGGGCACAAATGTCGTTTTCTTAAGAAGTTAGGCTGAATTTTCAGATGCCGCTTGCTGCAAATTAGGAGGTTGTGGCTTGGACTACGAAGTATTATTGCTTTCTTTTTTATGTGGTTTTGTTTTTTGTTTTGTTTTTTTTTTTATAATGACTGAGAAGACAGACCAGTTCCACACCCAGCAGTCAGGCATTAGGAATTGGTAGGCTGATCGTACTGGGGAACGTTTTCCTGCATCTCTCCGCAGAGCAGTTAGAAACTCTCATTGGAAACTGCTGAGGATGGAATCCTATTAAAAGTCTGTGGATTGCTTGGGTTCCACTGCCATGTTGTTCTTCCACCATAATGCTTCCCTGTTTTTCACATAGAACTGGTTTCATAGGCCGTTTAGATTCAAGTGTTAAACCATACATCCTGTAGGATGAGTTTTAATTATATGTAGTGCTGGATTCTTTCAACACAATGAGCTATTAGCTTCCAGTTACACCTATTGAACGGTTTGCTGTCTCTTCTTTTTGTATTTTCCTTCTTCCATATCTTATCTTCCTCCTTAAACTTCTTTTTAATTATTGTTACTGTTATTTGTGTGTTTTTTTTCCAGCACATGCAGACTACAACTAGCTTATGTGGAGAACTCGGTGTATAGAAAGCTGTTATTCATGCAGGCTTCACGTTAGTCCCTGCAATGTCAGGACTTCACAGTGAGATTGGTGGTTGTATGAGGCGTAAAGGGAAAAGAATATGGGGGCATTTTAGCTTCAGGGTTCTCTAATTGGTATTGGGATGGATAGAAAGGTAAAGAGTGAAGGAAAAATTGAGAGTGGGAGGAAAATACTGCAGGCTATTGTGGTTGTGCATTGTGTGAGAGGATAAAGGAATTTGTCTTCTATTTCAGTGAAAAGTAGAGTTCATCTTTTCCCCAGCTGGTGGTAAAAAGCCAGTTGATTATAGTGGTCAATATATGAAAGAGTACTACGGTCATAGAATGAATTTAAGCCAGACACAAGAGAAACGGCAGTATGCTTGTGACTGGACATCACTCTGAGAGTATCAAGCTTACTCAGACACGCTGCCTAATGGTGTGTACCTGAGCCTGCAATGACCGAGGGAATGGAAATAAGCTTTACAGCTGGCAGGGTTCCCCTCCCAGGCTTCCATCTCCTGTCCAGGATGGATTTACAGTTGACTGGCTTTCCCAGAGGCTTACAAGTGAGAGGAGATTCAAATTTTAAGTTGGTTCCATGTTTGGTTTTTTGGGTGGTGGTTTTTTGTTTTTTTTTTTGGTAACTATATTCCAGCAACTGACTCATAATTTGTACAAGTTTAAGATTGCTGTATTTGTTTAATAGTTACTTCATTTTTCACACTGTAAAGTTAATAGAGTGAAGCAGCTATAGAGTTACTTCCATTTATTCTATTTCCTTACTTTGCAGATGTCAGATTACATTTTGGGTAGCTTGTTCCTTCCTCCCCTGTTCTGCCCCTCATCCTTCCAATAGCTCTGTGAAGCTTCAAAAAAGCTTTGTACAGAGTGTTTTGAAAAGCCTGGAACTTTTCCAGTCATTCTGCATGGCTACAGTATTTATTTTAAGTAGTAAGTACCTCTCAGCAGTTTCTAATCATGGCATTAGGTGAAATAAAGGGGCAGATTGAAAGAGCCTTGATAAAATAAAATGGGTCTGGGAGGTTTTGATCAGTGATTATTTCAGCTGCACAATGGAAAGTTCTTTCTTGCTTTGCAGTGTATAATTGAAAGAGTGACTTTAGAAATACTTGTCCAAGGGGGAATGTAAACTCATTTAGCTTGATTAAAAACATAATCTTTCACTTAGTGAAGTTTAACAGAAGACCATGCAGTTCTTTTCGAAGAGATGATGAGATGTACTTGTTCTGCAAGGACAGTCAGTGCCGCAACAAGCAATTACTGACCTTTTCATCCTATTGGAGGAGAAGCTTTTAAATGAATTGAAGAGGTACTCCGAACCTAAAATCCCTCTGTGATGAGAGTTTTCATAAAGGGTGATACACATAAACCACATTTACTTGCTTTCTGAGGCTGAGCTGAAACATTTAAGCTTGAATTGCTTATGCAAAGCATACTGGTTTGTCAGAGGGAGATGTAATTTGTGATTTTGATACTTGCATTTGGTTTTGAGACTAAGCTTTTCAAAATTGACATCCTTTCTGTATTTTTCAGTTTGGCAACAACAGTAATTTTTCCTCCATATTGAACTTGAATTGTATATACATTTAAATCAACAATGAGGCAATTGGGAGGGGGTTGAAAGAGGAAAACCAGTGTTTTTCTAAGTGGAGTTATTTTTATATACATATGGGTATTTTTATTGAACATGTTATCTAAGCCTTTTCCTCTGTAAATTGTTAAAGGGAATAAAGCTGGCAGTCCTCAGTAGCTGCTGATGTAATGGATATGGTGGAAAATGTTTGAGTCTATTTTTCATACACATTATTACTTCATACAGGACTGTTCTTTCATGAAGAAATGTCACCTTGGAGTAGTACAAATCATTGCTGTCTAGTTTGACAGGCTTGGGAGGAAGCATGGGGTTTTGTTAGGTGCCTCTTTCACAAACAAAAATCTATGTCTTCATTAAAGTCTCAGTGTTTTCCCTTCTCCTATACCCTTTTACATTAGTTTTTAAATAAGCATACTTAAGGTTTTTGAATAAGCATATAGCTTTACTTTTCTGGAAGTAGTATATTTTAAGGGTTTACTCAAAAGATGTCAGAAGATAAATTCAACGTAATCCGGCCTTCAAAATAAAAGCCAAAGTTTTCAATTACTTTCACTTCTGATAATGTCACCAGAACAGTGTGGCATTTTACAGCAAGTGTTTGTACTGGAAAACTTGTTCAGTGTAAATTAATTTCAGTGTAATTTAATCTATGTTGGAAGTGGATTTCATCTGGTTTCATTTAGGTTTTCTGGAGGCTTATTCAGCTGGCCCCAAAACAGTTCTGTTTGAAGGTGGACAAAGTTATGGTTAGAACATAGGCCACAGAGTCCAGGTGCCTGGGCCGTTGCCAGCTATGCTGCTGTCTGTGGTGTTCAGTAAGGTGTTTGCCCTCAGGTGTGATGCTCAGGAGTATCTGTTGAAGTGCTGCAGCCTCAGCAGGCTACAGCTTCTTGTGTAGTTGTGGTTCTTCACTGTCAGAAGGGAGATCTCTATCCCCTGTCTTGTCTCTTGCCAAGTTTGCATTCTGTCATGCATCAGCTCTGAAAATAACAGTTCTTTGAGTTACTACCACTCAATAATGCAGTAAAATACTACCCCATAGTTAAGTTTTTTGCGATGGGATATGGGTTTTGTGAAGTGTAATTACTTCTTTGATATTTTTCACCTAAGTACTGCCAGTGTATATTTAGAAACAGTAAGTGGGCATGCACGATAAGTTTTTTGGAAAGAGGCTTGGAGCTTGAGGTATTATTATGGTCCTAAAAGTAAAGGGAGCATACAGTAGAAATCAGACATAGTGGATAATTATGTACTTGAGATTTTTTTTTCTTTTTTTCTAGAGTTGGTATTTTAATCACCTGCTCTGCTCAGGAATGTAAATTAATGTGTTGTGGCCTTTACATTCTAATTTAAAATCTTTCCCTTGTTTCTCAAGATATGCTGTTTTGTTTGTCTTTTTTTTTTCCTTCTCACAGCTTTTTGTAGCTGAAAGAAAATGATGGAAGAGAGTGGTATAGAAGTGACTCCACCTGGCACGCCCCCACCAAGCACAAGCACAGCAAGGGATTCTGCTGCCGCTGCTGCTGCCGCTGCTGCTGCCACTGCTACACCTGTCTCATTAGGTACAAAAATTTTCTCAGCAGCTTGGTCACATTTATTCATGCTTTTTGAAGCACAACAGTTCATCCAAAACCACTGCAATCAGCATAGTTACAGTGCTCTTCTCCAGACTAATTGGAAGAATTTAAATTGTTTTTTAATCATAGAAGTGTGCTCGTTACCTGACATACATCTGACAGAATATATTAAATATTTTTTTATTCTTGAAACCTTTTAATGAAGTCTTGTGGATGCACCTGTGTTTTTTTAAGGCAAATAATACCTTCCAGTACAGCGCACATTTAGAATGGGCAGTGTAGAAGGGAATTTAAAACCAAAGAAATTTACAGTATTGTAGGGGATTGTAGTAAACATGAATAATCACTTGGTTTTTAATATTGTGGGTGGTAATCAAAACACTTTACCTGATTTTTCAAGAATCTGAACCCCAAATACTTCATTTTCTGACACACCTGATACTGTTCTTGTGAGTTGCACTAAGTGCAGTGGACTCCAAAGTGGAGTGCCCTTAACCCAGGGGGTGTGCAAAGCAATTCACAGGGTTGTGGGAAAAAATACTAGACCTTCATTAGTATTTCTTGTTATTAGAAAAATAAGAAATGAAGCTTTGCTGATATTTAATATACAGCTTGACACGAGTGTCTTCACTCGATTCATATGTTGGGACATTCACATGTCCTGAGGGAAGAGTGGGTGTTCCACAATGCAAAGGGGTTGACAGCGTCACCATCACTCGTTTGCTCACTTTCATTATGCTGCAATGCCTTGCAGTTTGTGTGCCTGCTCAAGACAATTTAGGGGTTACGTTATCTAGTTTTAACTATATTAACCCTCGCAAAATGGACAAGTGACTCAAAAAAGGTTCCTGCAAAAAGACAGTGCATTGAAAATACTACTTACAATGCAAGCATGGGCAAAGTGGAAGAAAGTGAAACATTGAGACTTCGCTGACTCCTAATACGAACTCTTGGCCATTGTTTTTATCTTGTAGTATGGCTAACAGTCTAATTGGATCTGACATAAAGTTGGCAAAAAGATATTAATTTTTTGAGGACTATTTGAAATATATATTTACATCTGGTATTGTTAATGATATACCTTACTCTAAGTGTACATTGTGTCTTGAGATAATAGGTAAGGATAGTATGAAGCCACTATAATTAGCAAGACATCTAAAAACTAAGAATATGAAAGCCTATTTTCTTTTTCTTTTTTTTAAATGTTTCAAGTCATATAGTATGCATTCTCATAAGTCTTTATCAGCCTCTTTGGAAATTGCTTACTTAATAGTGAAGATAAAAAGTTGTTTACATTGGGGAAACACTTGCTCTTCCTGACATGGTTAAAATTTCTGAAATAATACATGGAAAGCAGTATGGTGACAAGCTAAAATGTATTTGTCAGCAGATACTGTTGGAAGAAGCATAGAAAATGTTGCTGAAGATTTGAAGAAACAAGTATTAGAAGAAATGACACAGCATGGCAGGTTTCCTATAAAGTTGCCTGGAAGTACAGATGTTTCTAACATGTCTCAGCTTACTGCTTTTGCTAAATTCTGTTACAGTAATAAGATACAGACATAACTATTTTACTGTCAAATGCTAAAGGAGGGATGTGCCAGAGAAGATTTATCCTCAACAGTAAATGACTTCTTTAATAAATGCAAAGTTTTTATTAAAACTGTAATTATAACCACAGATGGAGCAGTTACTCTGACTAGGATAAAAATAGATTCTAGGGAATAATGTTAGAGGTATCGCCATATGTTAAATTTATTCGTTGCCTCAATTCTTTAGCAAGCTGTTGCAACAAAGAAACAAGAGCCAAAAGTGCACAAAGTGCTACAGGATGTCATCAATGTAGTTAATTTAATGAAAATTAAATAGTAATTTTTTGAAATGGGGAGAGACTATGAATTTTTTTTGTATTGCATAAAGGTTTGCTGGTTGCCATATGGCAAGGTGTTTAAAAGAGTTGTTGGACTTAAAGGTGGCATGAACAATTTTCTTTTACATAAAGAGAAGTCTCCCAGATTTGCTGATGTTTCCTGTCATGACAAGTAGCTGTCACCAGTGTGCTGCCTAGTATCTGTTTTAAAAAAAAATTGCACTCGTACTTTGTCCCTTCAAGGTAAAGGTAGTGTTTTAACAAAGAGTGATGCAGTAACTACTTTTTGTAGGAAAGTCATGCTTTTGAGAGAGCATTTTAAAAATCCATACTTGGAAATGTTTCCAACATTATGCAGTCCTACTGCCATAAGCAATGCAAGTGTCATATAAAAGCTGTCACATCTGTTTACATAAACTTGCAAAGAGGACTTCCTGACCTATGTAAAAACATTCCAAAGAGTTTCAGTGGGACTTCAACCCATTTTTAAAAATACTAAGTTGCACTACCTTCTGATTAGTTGCAAGAAAATTGATTGATATCACTGAAGATGGGAATTTGCCACCTGAATTTCAAGAAAATTTTTTTGTATGAGTGGTTAGTGAGAGTTGAAAATAAGTAGCATGATTTAGTAAGCACAGACAATGATGCAGTTCTGCCATTTAGATCTCTATACCTTTGTGAGGTATCTTTTCTAGCAATTGCATCCATTAAAGCTGTGTCAGAATTGTCTGAACATCAAACCAAAGTTTCACATCGTGGTGTTAAACCAAGGTTTAAAAAATAAGGGGGCTTCTTCAATCACATTACTCACATAAAATATTATTAATAATAATTATACAGCATGTCAGTAGTTACTGACATATTATATTGATTTGTACTGTTAAATAATTAAAAAAAAATTCATCTTTATCACGTCCTTTTAACATTTGTATTGTGTATGTTTTGTGATACACATACTACACTACAGTGATATGTGTAAATAAATTAGAAATTGCATGAGATTTGCATGCTCATAATTTTTTTACTGATAAGTGTGTGAGATAAAGTTTGAAGACCACTGCATTAGTGCAGCTTGGCATATAGTTTACTGTCATTGGCTGAGACTAGTGAGATGCTTGAGCTGATCCAGTAGGTTACTGCTACAGAAAATGGTCATTTCTATTTTTCTGACATAATTTTCTAGCTAAACTTGGCTTAGAGAGCAAAATTAGCTAATCTAAGGATCAGTTGAGAGCCAGACTGGAAAATCTGTTAAAATAGACTTGAGTAATGGAGCAAAGGCTCATGCTTAAATTTTATCCTTTTTGAGTTTCTTTTGTTTTCCTTTGAATTATGTAAAGCTATTCATTTGCTTGCTTCTTTTTCTGTTGCTACTGATTTCCAGCACTCAGGGTTAGAAAATTTCCTACTTCTCTTTCTTCTATTATGTGTGAGATCATTCTTATCTCTGTTCAGAGAGCAACACCCATTCCTCTTTTTTCTTCTAATAATCCCTAATGAGGGATTATTCTGAAAATTTGAATACAATAAAAAGCACTACTGTTAGACTAACTTGCTAAGAAAAAAATCACTGTTTAATTTTATGCATAATGTACAGGCAGTCTCTGTTCTAATAGCAGGTATTGTTGAAGTCTTTTAGAGTAGTTATATCTGCTAACCTCTAATAAGCAGAATTGTTCTGGGGCCTTCAAGAAATGAAGTGAATCAGCCAAGTGTTCTGTTCTTCCTGCTTATTTTCTTGTTAAGCTATTGTGTGTTCCTACAGTATAATAAATTAAATGCAGTAAAATAAGAGAACACTTGTGAGTTATTTTCCCCCGTTCCTAGGTGCTCTGGCAAATCCTGTTACGCAACAAGCAAATCTGTCATCAGCTTTGGCTCCTGGAACGGATTCTACCATCACTTTTCCTGAGGAGCATGATGACCCCAGAGTATCAACTGCCACAGGAGGGCTGTGGGGATTTATAAAGGTATGGGGTTTTGTCTGTTACACTTAATGAGGAATTACTGGTTTTACTGACTAGGAGACATATTTTAAATGCATGTTGCTATAAATCTCTCTCTGGCCTCATATGCAAGGTGGCTGAAACTATGCTTTTGCTCTTCCTTTGTATGAAGGATGGAGGAGTGTACAAATGCTGGTGTTTTAGGTTGATATATCGCTGTGACAGGAAGATATGCATACCTAACAAGTTCTGTCACATGTTCTTAAATTGGGGAAGCTTTAGGACCCTTTTAAGACCTGAAGGCTAATTTTTACTTTACAGTGACTGGATGTAGAAAAAGTGTGTTTTACCTCACCAGAGTTCTTTGTATATCATGTTTCTTTATTATTCTCTAACGAGCTGAATTTGATTTCTGTGGGATACAGTCTTGCCTGTTACAGAACAAAAATGTCTCTTCAAGGAGAGGAAAATAAATTTTCTTCAGTTCTTCAATCAAAGAAGAGTTTACCTGAGAAGTGTTTAAGAGATGTAGGATTTTTCTGTTCTGCTGCAAGGCATGGAGTATATAGTGCAGAACAGATACTCCTTGTGATATGATCTAATCATACAGAGGAAATAAGCAGCAACATCAGCTTATTAGAGTTTCATTAGCCTATACCGTTTTTGGAGTTGTGACAAATGTGACATGTAAGTAGAATCAAAGATTGTGGCAAAAAGGTGTAAGGGCTACAAATGAACACTGAAACATCTTCAAGAGTAACAGTTTTTTTGTGCTGTCTCATACTAGAAGTGAAGGAAGAATGGAGAAGATTGATATCTCGATGGGGTTGCAGAATTTTGGAGTGGCTTTCAAGCCCTTTTGAGCATGAAGAGCTGGGAGAAACAGTTGTGTGTGTTATGGCAGACTGAGCCCTCTGTTCCTCCAGGAATACACATCTTGACAGTGATACAGTCTTAAAAAGCAAGAATAATCCTCTGTCAGTATGGTGAAAACAAAGTTGCCTTGCTGCCCCTTTGAAGGAGAGATGTGTTTTCATGATCATAAAAACGCATCTTCTGTCTTCCTTTAAATAATATCCTTCTCTCACTTATGCACCTCTTAATATTCATAATAGATGGTAATGTTTCAGAAGGGAACGTTTTTTTGGTAACATGATTCTGTAGCCGTTTTGAAAGTACTAGAGCTTGCCATTGCAAATTACTTGAAAAGCCAATCTCATCCATATTACTGTTGCCTTTATACCAGTAGGATCCAAAAGGTGTCCTGTTTTGTATTGGTATAAAACTATGGACTATTTATCAATATTTGTGCTAGGCTGATGAACATAAAGGCATCTTCCACAGGTAGAAGCAACTGCTTCTTGCTACTCGGGAATCTGATTATCTTTGCGAGATGTATAATGACCTTGTGTTAGTTAGGCAGGCAGACTGCTGATTGAAGAAGTACTGCTTGGCTTTGCGTTATTGGAATGATACAAGAACTGGAAATTCATACTTTAAATGTTTCTGAGGATCTCGTAGTGCGCAGTTTTTGTTAAAACAACAGAGAAACTTCATGTTGTGGGAGAGCTGAAGGAGGAATTTAAACTTCCTTGTTCTTGATGGCATTCTGTGGGTACATGAGTAGTCACAAGAGTTTATGTATTACTGAGTGAATGCTGCCATTCAGAAAAGTCTTGTATTCATGAGAAACAGTGGCTATAGTGGGCTCTGGCTTGAAAAAGCTTAATTGTGTATGAGTGAGTAAGTGTCCTGTTTTCTTTACCAAATTCTGCAGTGAGGCTTAGTGTTCTGCACAGCATTGAGAAGAGTGCCTAAACCCAGTGGTAAACTGTTTCAGTGTGAGACATAGGATAAGATAATCATCATTATTAGTAGCCAAACGATGTCACAGTGTCTGTAGAAGTGTGGGATTTTTTGTTTTCAGTTGGTTGGTTGGTTGGGGTTGTTTTTAAGCTTGCTACAAAGAAAACATTCAAAGGTGGGATGTGGCTTTGAGCATCCTGTTCTAGTGGAAGGTGTCCCTGGCCATGGCAGAGGGGATGGAACTAGGTGATAGGTGTCCTGGGTTCAGCAGTAGCAGTCATTTTTCTCCTTCTTGGTAGCTGGTGCAGTGCTGTGTTTTGACTTTCGGCCTGGGAACAGAGCTGATAACAATGATGTTTTGGTTTGGCCAGGGACTTTGTGAGCCTCATGCTCTGCCAGGGAGGAGGGGAAGCTGGGAGGAAGCAGAGACAGGACACTTGACTCAAACTAACCAAAGAGGTATTCCATACCACAGCATGTCATGCCCAGGATGTAACTGAGAGTTACACGGAAGGGCTAGGATGGCAGGTTTGGAGGAGGTATCGGTCAGAACTTGGGCTGGGGGGGGCGAGTGATCGGTTGGCTGGTGGTGAGATGTTGTATTCTCTTCCCGTGTTATTTCCTTTATCATTATTATCATTGGTGGTAGCAGTAGTGATTTGTGTTATACCTTAGTTACTAAACTGTTCTTATCTCAGCCCGTGGGAGTTGCATTCTTTTCGATTCTTCTCTCTGTCCCTCCGGGAGTAGGGGGAGGGAAAGAAGGCGGGGGAGTGAGTGAACAAGCTGTCTGGTTCGGTTTAAACCACAACAATAGGTAAGGTCCCTTCCAACCGAAACCATTATATTGTTTATGGGAAAGAAGCTTGCTGAGCAAAACTTATTCTGAAATAATTAAAACTACTCTGATTCTGCAGTTCTCTGGAATACTGTGTAGTGTATTATGCAAGTGGAAAGATGTATGTATGTGCACAGTGCTGTCCTGTGTCATGTTTGTCATTTAATGAAACAGATACAAGCATGTGCAGTTTTAATATTGGACTGAAAACAGCCTGTTTACTGAAGAAGTTTGCCAAAAGATTTCTGTGAAATAGTTTCCAGTGCTTTGTCTTCCAGTGATTCAGCATTGGTATTTTTCTTCTTTCACCCATTGATCTTATCTGAATTCAGATAAGCTTTTGATGAGATACTGACATTAATTAAGACTATGCAAGACACAGGGCAGTGTTTGGGTTTATATTTAATGAATTTTTAGGTCTGTCAGCAGCTCCACCTATGACTTGGCTGGAGAATGTTGAACATTTTTCCAGCAATGTTAAAAATCTATTTATAAACTGAGGACTTCCAGCTGAATTGCTCTAGAAATATTTGTTAATAATGAGCCATTCAAAAATAGATCCTATTGTCTTTAAGAACATTAGTAAAGGAGACTGTTCAGCTTGAGTTATCACAGTCTAAATCTAGCTACGTAGTCTTATGATACCTATAATTAGCATTAGGAATCTACATTTTTTTTTAAATGCTCCAGAATAGAACTAGATCAAGTTTATTGCCCACTATCACCGGTGGTACTGCTCCTGCATTAATGCAGAAAAGGATGGTAAAGGTGATATTTGAACTTCATGTTTTAACTGAAAACTTATGCAGTGATAGCCATATTCTGTAGTGTTTGTGTTGAGGAGTGAGATGCAGTAGGTGTTACGAAGTGTAAATGTAGTAAGAAAAACACAAAGCAGCTTAATATTTGCTTTTTATTTGTTTCGTTTTTTTTTTTAACTGTAACATTTTGAGTTTCTCAAGGAAAAAAAAATCAAAAGATGTTTTGCTTAAATTTTTTGCTTAAATTTAGGGTGTAGCTGAGAATCCCATGGTGAAGTCTGTTCTTGACAAAACCAAACATTCAGTGGAGACCATGATCACAACACTGGATCCTGGCATGGTTCCATATATCAGTAAGTATTTATGACAAACCATTAAGTAATACCTTTAAATGTTGGAGAGGTTAATAGCACACTACTTTTACACTTGAAGTTTCTATATGTAGTGTGTTAATTCACAGTCACAATACTGTATTGATTTCTCAAGTGATTTATCTGCTGAAACTCATTTTGAAGGCTGACTTTGTATGTGTGTCTTTTACTTTTGTATTCTGCTGTAGTTCAGATAATGGCACAGTAATACCCTTTAATTCAGATTCAGATAGTGAAAGATGAAGTTAAAAATAAAAGTCAAGAGACTTCCCTATAATCCCTCTACGGCATATTATTTTCTCCCACTGTGTCTCTATTTAAGCCTTATGGAGCTGAGTTTAAACACACCGTATGTTTTCTGCTGGATCGCATGCTTAAATAGTACTGTGTCACATTAGAGCTAAAACAAGCCAAAAGGTAGGCATACTCTGAGAGGTATAGAACAGAGGTATTTACATAGCTTTTGAGACTTTCTTTTCTCTGTTGCACTTTTCTACCTAATGGTATTTGCACTATTTTTAAGAAATTCATCAAACTTGAAGCAGTTTCTGATTCAGTTAGTAGGAACTTTAAAATTCTAAAATAGTCTCATGAAGTCTGAAATGCACTGAGCCAGGAAGGAAGAGCACAGTATTTCAGTTACAGTTTGTTGTGGTATTCAGCATTTTTTACTAGAGTACATTACATGTGACATATAGCCAATGTGAAATTTCTGCTTTATAATGGTGAAGCAACAGACATAAATTGTCCAGTGTGATAGTTCGTTTTGTTTTGTTGGTGGTGGTGGTGGTTTTGTTGTTGGTGGTGGTTTTGTTTTGTTTTTTTCCAGCAGTCTGGTAAGCAGTCTTCCTCCTTGGTTCTGCCAGTACTGCCCCTTGTCTGCATGTAGGTGAAACTGGTCATGAAGCTGATAAGACTGAGAACAAACTATTAAAATGTTCTTGCATTTTGTTTTCTAAGCTGTTTCTCAGGTGGACCTATTCTGTGATCCGTTTAACCGCATTTCTGCACTATTGTTCTAATCCAGTGGACAATATGTGGCATAAAAGGAAGATAACCGAATTATTGAGTAGTTAATTGTGTTACATTTAAGGAAGAATATCTCAGCAACTGACTACTGAGGAGACAGTGGGATATGAAATCAGTGAGAAGGCCAGCCAGCAACTGAGAAAGTTTTTGAGTAGAGGGATGCAATGCAAAACCAGAGTAAATGTTAATTATGCACAATTTGGCAAACTGTATTTAAGGTTTCTATTGCAATTATGACCATTCCTTTTTAAAATAGGATCTGACAGTAGCCAGTTGTGGTTTGGATGTTTTGATACACTATTCATTGGATGGAATAACATTACCTAGAGGAAGTAATTCTAATAAAATGCTTTGCTTGTAAGATTCAGTTAGAGTAAATGAATAGTTACCCGGGTAACTATAGACCGGTCAGCCTCACCTCCATCCCTGGGAAAGTGATGGAACACCTTATCCTTGGTGCCATCTTAAGGCATATCAAGGATAAGAGGGTTATGAGGGGCAGTCAGCATGGCTTCACCAAGGGGAAATCATGCTTGACCAATCTCTTAGCCTTTTATGAGGAAATAACACGGTGGATGGATGATGGCAGAGCGGTGGATGTGGTCTACCTTGACTTCAGCAAAGCATTTGACACAGTCTCCCACAGCATCCTCACAGCTAAATTGAGGAAGTGTGGTCTGGATGATCAGGTAGTGAGCTGGGAACTGGCTGAAGGAGAGAAGCCAGAGAGTTGTAGTCTATGGGGTGGAGCCTAGTTGGAGGCCTGTAACTAGTGGAGTGCCTCAAGGGTCAGTACTGGGGCCAGTATTATTTAATATATTCATCAGTGATTTAGATGAGGGAATTGAGTGTACTATCAGCAAGTTTGCTGATGACACTAAGCTGGGAGGAGTGGCTGACACGCCAGAAGGCTGTGCTGCCATCCAGCGAGACCTGGACAGGCTGGAGAGTTGGGCAGGGAATAACTTGATGAAATATAACAAGGGAAAGTGTAGAGTTCTGCATCTGGGCAGGAACAACCCCAGGTTCCAGTATAGGTTGGGGAACGACCTGTTAGAGAGCAGTGTAGGGGAGAGGGACCTGGGGGTCCTAGTGGACGACAGGCTGACCATGAGCCAACACTGTGCCCTTGTGGCTAAGAAGGCCAATGGCATCCTGGGGTGTATTAGAAGTGGGGTGGTTAGTAGGTCAAGAGAGGTCCTCCTTCCCCTCTACTCTGCCCTGGTGAGACCGCATCTGGAATATTGTGTCCAGTTCTGGGCCCCTCAGTTCAAGAAGGACAGGGACCTGCTGGAGAGAGTCCTGCACAGGGCAACGAAGATGATTAAGGGAGTGGAGCATCTCCCTTATGAGGAAAGACTGAGGGAGCTGGGTCTCTATAGTTTGGAGAAGAGGAGACTGAGGGGTGACCTTATTAGTGTATATAAATATATAAAGGGGGAGTGTCACTAGGATGGAGCCAGGCTCTACTCAGTGGCAAACAATGGTAGGACAAGGGGTAATGGGTACAAACTGGAACACAAGAGGTTCCACTTAAACTTGAGAAGAAACTTCTTCTCAGTGAGGGTGACAGAACACTGGAACAGGCTGCCCAGGGAGGTTGTGGAGTCTCCTTCCCTGGAGACATTCAAAACCCGCCTGGACACATTCCTGTGTAACATTATCTAGGTGTTCCTGCTCCGGCAGGGGGATTGGACTAGATGAGGTCCCTTCCAATCTCTAGCATACTGTGATACTGTGAATTCAGTAGTTATCTCAAACTTTTCTGAAGTCATGTTGTTAGGGAAAGCACCTGTATACATCTTGGCTATTAAAATACTGCCTTTTTTTATAGTTGCAGGTTGTGGAGATAGGGCAGAGATTTGTAAACTTAGTATTTACTTCCTTCTAGAAATGTTTTAATTCATTAACTGTTTTCTTTTATTCTAAAGAAGCTTAGTGAAAACTCACCCTCTTTATGAAGGTACTGTCATATGGAAGTAATTCAGAAATACAACTTTTTTGTTCCATAGATATTCCATAAATTTTGTTCCATAAATGTCTAAATCAGGATAAAGCTGTAGGGAGGCAGACAGGCAATAAAATTCGCAGTCCACAGAAGCCTATAAAGTAATACGAGCCTTTCTTTAAAAGGTTGATAACTGTTCACTGGATTTTATGAACTACATCTGTATATCTCTTTCATAAGGAAGACTTTTTGTGTTACATAAACATTCCTTACCCCTTTGCAGAACACCAAAATATCTTCAGGAATGGATGTCCAAGTTATTCTTCTAAATCCATTGTCATCTTAAATGAGTGGTATGAGGTTTTTTTTTCAGTTGCTGAATACACATCAGTTGCTGTTGTCTGTCCTTCATTCTTGAATTACTTAGTTCTTCATCTAACTTCTACTTCCTAAGTTATTTCTATACAGTGGCAAAGAAAGAGGAGAGCAACTCTGAAGCATAGTTTTTTAAGAGAGAATGTATTTGAACTAGTTTATAATGTGAATGAGGAAAAATACATGAGCATCCAGTACTTAGCTCTTGTGAGGCTGCACTTAGAATCCTGTGTTCAGTTCTCAGTCCCTTGCTACAAGGAAGACATTGAGATGCTGGAGTGGGCCCAGAAGAGGGCAACAAAGCTGGTGAAGGGTCTGGAGCGCAAGTCTTGATGAGGAATGTCTGAGGGAACTGGGGCTGTTTAGTCTGGAGAAGAGAAGGCCCAGGGGGACCTTATCACTCTTTACAACTACCTGAAAGGAGATTGTGGTGATGTGGGGATTGGTCTCTTCTCACAAGTAACAAGTGATAGGACAAGAAATAATGGCCTCAAGCTGCATCAGGGGAGGTTTAGATTGGATATTAGGAAAAAATTCTTCACAGAGAGAGTGATCAGACATTGGAACAGGCTGCCCAGGGCAGTGGTGGAGTCACTGTCCCTGAACTATTCAAAAAACCATGTAGATGAGGCCCTTAGTGACCGGTTTAATGGTGGTCTTGGCAGTCCTGGGGTAATGGTTGAACTTCATGATCTTAAAGGTCTTTTCCAACCTAGCTGATTCTATGATTATATATGTATGTATTTTACAGAAACTGGGGGAGAACTGGACATAGTGGTTACTTCTAATAAAGAGGTAAAAGTTGCAGCAATTCGAGATGCCTTTCAAGAAGTCTTTGGAATGGCGGTTGTTACTGGAGAGGCGGCTCAGTCTAACATTGCACCCCAACCTGTAGGCTATGCAGCAGGTTTAAAAGTAAGTTGATATGTAACAGCACTAAAGTACCTCCAATGCAAAGAGAGCATAGAATCATTCACCTACAAAAATCTGATTTCCTGTAAAGGGGAGGGCAATTGTGAGATAAGTATACTTTTTTTTTTTTTTTTTAATTGCCATCTGAGTCATTAGACCAGTTTGAAGCTACTTGGTGAAATAGTTTTAGGGGTTTTGTTTTTTTTTTGTTTTTGCAAAGGCATTCACAATGAATGATATTCATGTCAGTTTTTTTACACTGTCATTGATTGCCATCACATCTATCATACATTGTGATAGTACTGTAGTTTCAAAGTATAGCAGGTATTTCTTAGACCTACTAGCACACATGTTGGAAATGCTAGAAATTAAAAGTTTATTTAAAACTGAGTTTTCTCCCCACTAATTCTGTAGATCAGTAATAGTTTGATTGGCACTTGTCAGGTATCCTCTCAACAAGATCTGTGGTATGTTTTAAAAGTGAGAATTCACTCTGCAGCCTTGCAAACAGCTGTGCTGGCTGCAAGTGTTATCAAAAGTTGTTTCATCAGATTTTAAAAATGTACGTGGTCATCAGGTATATTTATATGTAACTACCTCCCTGGCCAGTAAATAAAACCGTCAAAAACAACTATTTAGTATTCTGCTTCTTAAATACAAGCAAATCATTTACTTAGTAAAAAGAAAGTTTTCTCCTAACCGCTGTGGCAGTGCGCGCAGATGAGTAAAACCTATCCTCATAGCAACATATTAGCTGATACAATTTTATGTTGAGGTAAGGAGTATACCGTTCCTTTAACTGTTTAGCTGCTGCAGGGTAGGAGTAGTATTTCTATTACAGCTTCAGAGTAATGAGAGGTTTGGAGCAAATGCTTCCTTCATCTTAGTTGGATAGGAAACACAGGAAAGCGATTCTTTCCCTTACTCTTCCAGAGTTGGTCCAGTGCTCTTAAATGACCCAACAAATCTGCAAAAATGTCAGTATGAATAACAGTCATACATACTGATGCTTTAACTAATAATGAAACTTGTCACAGTAACAGGTTAGGAATCTAGGTCTTTTTCAGGGAAAAATAATAAACTCAGAATATTTTATGAGGTTTGTCTAGTTTTTGTTGCTGTTAGGGATTCCATTGTGGCTTTTCATGAGGTTTGGGTTTTTTTTGCTTATTTTTCTAATGTTGAAATAAGAGTAAGTTTTAAAAATCACGTTTTCTGTTTAACTTGAAAAGTATGTTCTAGCATTCTTTTTGCATTAATCTGCAAGCATTGTACTATGTTGTGATTCAAAGAGAATGTTGTCTTTAACAGCTTGTGTTAATCATTTAGGGAGCCCAAGAAAGAATAGACAGCTTGCGTCGGACAGGAGTAATACATGAAAAACAGCCCGCTGTATCAGCAGAAAGCTTCATTGAGGAATTGCTTCCTGACAAGTGAGAACTTCACATACATTCCAGGGGAGGGTGGGATGCAGGGGAAAGGACTCAAAGGGGCCTAAAAAATTGTTGCTGTCAGAATCACTCTGAGCTGAAGAAAGGAGAGAGTTTGTCTTCAGTATTGGTCTGGCAGACTTGAGTTTGGTGATGATGTTCAGCTTTTTGTCCTTGAGACTTTAACATACAAAATCGTCATCAATTTTTTCAAGATTCACAATATAAAAACACAATGAAGTTACACTGAAATGACAAAACTAAATAGCTGTAAAACTTGGAATTTAGCTAGTGGTTTGCTCACTCCTGTGAGCAAAACTCGTGTTTCTTTGCTTTCTCCAAAATTGTATTCAGTTCAGAAAGTACACTGGGAGATCTTCTGTGACTTGTAGTTCATTTGTAGCAATATGATTTTATCAGATAATATATTATCTAGTTTGCTTTCATTGAGAGTGTGTTTACAGCTTTTAATTTGCACTGCACAGACGTAACAATGGTGTTTCCAAATACAACTTGATTTCATAACGTGCTTTTTGACAGACAGTTCTTGAAGTAGCTTTATAATTAATTTCCAAAACATTAAGGACAACATCATGTTGTTTTTAATACAAACTATGTTTTTTTTCTAATGTTTTGTGCATTTTTAAAGGTACATTTAGTATCCTTAGTGGAAGGTAGATGGTGAATTTTCTACAGTAAATAGAATTAGGAAGTGGTTTAGATTTTGTTTAGGATTTATTTGCATCTAGCCTGATTTAGATGTTTTATCATATTACCAGGAAGGATTAAATGTGACAGTGAAATCTCTGTTTCAGAGTAATTGCTGTTCTTGTCCTTTGAATTCTGTCATTCCTAAATATGAAAATGTTGCTTAAAGAATTCAACATGAAAGAGCTCAACCATGACTGAAGTGTACTGAAGGGAATGATAACTCTTCTCTCCACACATGACAGGCCCCAAGAACACCTTGATCTTTGATATTAGTTACAATAGAAGCAAACAATAACTTAACAGATGCTTTAATTTTTATTCAGTAGGCATCATTGCTCTGTTCCCTGCTACATAGGTGACACAAGTGAAATACTTCTTCCTGTCTTGCTCCACTAAACTCTTAACATGAAACTTACATGGCTTACCCAGTCATTTCTTAAAATTAGAATCTTGCATTTCGTTTTAGAACAACACCTTTACTTCCCAAAATACAGTATATAATATATATATGAAACAAAACCTACAATAATACTTTTTAAGTCTGAGACTTGGCCTTGGTTTTGTGTTTGTGCTTTCCCTGGAGCATGTTTCTCCTGTGGCAACTGAACTGTAAAACTGTTACAGGAATTGAATACAGTGAGTTAATGTCGGTGCATTGTCCATGATTTTATTTGGATTATGTCAGTGTTGTTAGCTTGTTGATAGGAGAAATGATATAATGTTTTTGCAGGCTAAATAGGGAACCATTTTGTGTACTGCTTCAGTAGCCTTTACTGTGTATGCTACAGCAGGCACCTTTCAGAAAGATGTGGAAGTGTTTCTCTGAATAAGTCATTTAAATGGTTGTTATAAAATTACACATACCAAAAAATCTTCTGAATATAGAACATGAATGATAGATTTGTTTTTTCTTAATTGTTAGGGCAGGTTATCTCAATAAGAAACATTCTCTAAAAGCATAGTAACTATGGCCAAAAGAATGTATCTGCACATATGCCTACCCCACCAAATTTCTGTGGGTTTTTTGATCTGTAAATTTTAAATATATTTTATATATTTTATATTATGTATTTCATGTGCATACATATGCAGTATAATTTTATATATATAAAAATAGCTATGTGCAAATTTTACTTGAAAAATACTAGGAAACTGATGAAACTCGTTATTATTACATTTGTGGTAGAATTGGTAAAATGGTCACAGTTCAACTGCTAGCATGTTGTTTTTCAATTGGGTGATGCTCAGTACTCAGAAATAAAGTAGCTTGTATATCATTGCAGGTGGTTTGACATTGGATGTCTGATTATTGAGGATCCCATTCATGGAATTCATCTGGAAGCTTTTACTCAAGCAACACCTGTGCCTTTGCAGTACGTTCAGCAGGTGAGTTTTCACTGTTGTTACAAATGTTGGATTAACAGTTAAGACATAAGACTTAAGGTTTAATTTCACTTAAGATGTCAGTACTTGCAGTCACCCCACTTGAATGTTTTAATTTATGAAACTAGGATAAAAACTATTTTTGAATTGTATTTATGTATTACCTAAAAATCATCAGGCATTTGTTGCAAAGCAATTTTTGTTCAGTAGTCTCATTCTAAAATACAAGGCACTTGAAAGCACTAGTTTTACTTTTCTAATAATGAAGAAATATTCCAAGAAGAAATTAATCAAGAGGAAATATTATCCAAGAAGAAATTAACCACCAAGAAGTACTCCATGAAAAATGAAACATAATTTTAAGAATTGAAATATCATCAGTCTGGTTCAGTGACTTAGACTTAACCCTCATGAATCTTTATGTTGATAAGGTAAGAATACTCATTCTTCCTCAGGTGTGGAAGGAGCACCTTACAAAATGCACTAAGCAACTGCACAAAGAAGTGCAGTAACCACTTTTATCCATCCAAAAGCTTAGTTTTCTTTAATTAACTTACTTCACGTATATATTAGAGTGTTAATGCCAACAAAACTGCATAATAGTGAGTTGTCTGTGCATACATGTACATGTTAGCAAGTCAGTGACATACTTTACACTTCATTTAGGCAGAAATTTTTAAATTGAGATTTTGCCATGCAATTTTTACTAAAGCTCATAAAGCCTTGGTATTTATGTTGTTATTTACCACCAAACAGACTGCATACTTTACTGATTAGTATTCTGAAAAATTATCCCTAATAAATGAATAAAGGATACCCCTTCTTCAGAGTTGGGCTTGGACTTAATTCCACTATGAACATACAGACTGTTACCTAAAATTCAAGGCTGATTTCCTCTTCTTGACTGTCCTGTCCTGACAGGGATTGAAAATTTCTGAAATGGAGAGATTTTAATCTTGGAAATGTCATGGTTCATCCCATTTAAAATAATGCAGTAGTATGAAGGTCTTAAATATCACCAACAGAAGTTATTCGTGAGATTGTTTACATTTCTTTGGACATGCACTAGGAATTATTCCAAACTCCAGTCACTGTGTATTGCCTGAAGGAACGTATGAGTCATAAATGAGTTAACTCTGCTCTGAGAATTATTTTTAAGTAAATGTTTCTGTGAAGAATTTCAAAACAAACTGTTTGGGGTTTGATCCTCAGGGGACTGTTTTGAGAAAACAAATAGTAACTGTTTATGTTTTTTTTTTTTTTTTTTCTTGTTACTACTAACTCCAATAGAGTGAATGTTTTGGGATTGGTTTTAGTTCTTATATTTCAGAGTTCTTACAATTTTGAAAAGCTGACAAGTGGAAAAAGGAGAAATATTGTTGTTGCTCAGTCTCTCTTTAGTTCTCCAGAATGCTTTTCGAAAGGAGTCAGGAAAGATATGAAGCTAAGGAAAAAAATACTGATAATGCAGATACAACTTAATTGACTAGATGATCTTTAAAGGTCCTTTCCAACCCAAATCATTCTATGATGCTATGAAATCAATGTGAAGTTACTAATTAAATTATTGTCACATTCTATGTGGAGCACCGATATGAACCAAATGATTTTTTTAAACATAAAGCACAACAGGTATTTTTAATTTTTGTTTCACAGAATACTCTGTTTTTTCATTTAAAAACTATAAGTTAATAGTAACCTTTTGAGTATTTCTTTTCTCTTATGTAAACATATTTTATAACTTTGAAAATTAGTATTGTGATAGCAGAAAACATTCTTGTTTAAATGTCCAGGCAGCCGGTTTGGTGTATAGCTTGGTGTACAGCACAGATTTAGTAAGTCTTCAAATTTGAATTAGATTGAATTCTTATATTTAAAGAAAACTGTTCTTGTATGTACGTCAACAGCAAAACATAGCTTTGTTTCATACCTTTGTTCCTACTATATCTCTTTTATGAACAGAGGGAATTTCTCTCAGGGGCGTGTAAGAAACACGCATCGGTATAAATGCAGTCCAGTATCTTTAAGCAAAATCAAAATTACAACAGGGAAAAAAACCCAACAATTGTGTAATTGTGTTTCAGACTACAAACAGAGAATAAATATGTTGGACAGGCAGTGTTATTTTTTTTTTTATTCACAGTACAAAAGTTTTAATAGAAGCAACCTGCTCTAGTTGAACCTGCATTGGAGGGGGAGTTGGACTAGATGATCTCCAGAAGTCTCTTCCAACCCCAACCATTCCATAGTTCTCGGAATATTAAAACCAGTTATGTTCCTCATAGTTCTTGCTAGCTATGTGTTCTGTTGTTCTGTATAAGGAAATAGTGGTAAAAAACTGTCTTTGTAGAATTGATGCTCTTTTGTTAATGTCTTTACCAACAGCATGGAGTTTTCTGAGCACATAAAATGGGACTCATGGCTGTTAATAACTCTAAAATACTGCTTGATTTGAGAAGGTAAAAAGGTGGACTGGAGGGCTTGTTTTGAGAAACTTTTTCTGTTAACAGACCAGCTGTCATCTTGTTTTTAGCTGAGGCAGAAATTGCAGCTGTGATGGGAAACTACTGCAAGGTTGATCTTTTTTATTTTATTTGACGTTCACTTAAAATTTCTAGCAATAAAAATACCAAATAATTAATTTTGAAGTTATGTGCAATTATATGGATCATAGTGGAGATACTTGCTTATATACTGCATACTTGCAGCTAGGTGCACTTGTATTTACTTCTTGCTGCCACTGTTTTGACTAGTAAGCACTAGTTCTGTTTCTTTGCTTAAGAAATCTGCTTTTTACATACCTCTTGATAATCACAAGTTATTTTTATATTGGAGTAGACTGTGTTTTCTGTCAAATTTACGTATCCTGTTATTGTTGCAAGACAGTAGTTTGAGGAAGAATGGAACACAGTAATGAACTTCACCAGCTGTACAGGCACTGGAAACAGGCTGTGTTTGTCAAAATAAAGTCTGTATGAAGAATTGGGCCCAACATGCAATGCTATGAAGAACTGAATAATACTAAGAACACTCTCAGTGTGGCTAAAAGTCTTCTACATTTCACTGTATGTGACAATGGCCAGAGGTGTTTGCCTAGGATGAGCATCAGAGCCATTAAGTGCAGTGATACTTCCCCCACTGCTTCCCTTCTGCTTCCAGCTTCAGGGAATTACAAGTGTGTAATCCTGTGTCTCATGCAAATAGCTCAGTCCTCCATTTCTGCCAGCTGCAGCTTTCTTCTTGTATTTGGCTACTTGCCTGCTTCTGAGGGACATTTTAACCATTTTTGAAACCTTAGGCAGGTAAGACCTATTGTATAAATATATATAATTGGTTCCCTCTGTTAGCTACTTCAAAAGAGAAAACTACTTCCTGGTAATGGTGGAATGTCTTTACTCTTTCAAGCATCATATTTTAGCTTTACACTATTCTGTTTGGATCATGATACATACAAATCCAAAAAGTATTAATTGGCTAGGCAAATTATGGGGCAGTCTGAAATTTGAATTTTGATACCCTTTAGTTTGCTATGTACATTCTGTTGATGTATCAAAGTTGGTAATGGTGAAGATAGAAACAAAACATCCTTCTAAACTTTCAGTAATCACTTCTCAAAATGTTACACAGGCGAAGAGTCTCACTCCTGAGGACTACAGTCTGAGATGGTCAGGCCTGTTGGTGACCGTGGGTGAAGTGCTTGAGAAGAACATACAGAATGTCAACAGGACTGATTGGCACGTGGTATTCACTGGCATGTCCCGTCGACAGATGATCTACAGTGCAGCAAAGGCTCTAGCAGGAATGTACAAACAACAGTTACCACCCAGGACTGTTTGAAAGAAAGCTGATCCATGACACTACTGGCTTTGTGATTCTAGAATTGAAGTGAAAGCTGCACATTCTAATTCTCAGTGGATGCAGCACACATTTGTAATCTAACTTTAAACTGAATTTTACTTTTTAAGAAGTGAAGGTAATTTCCAGTAGCAGAAATGAGCTATTGTAATTTTTAACTAATATGATTTCCAATATGATTCACAAAATTGGAAGTGAGAACAAATACATATTTATAACTGGAACAAATAGCATTACAGTTTGTATGGTGAATGTGTTGTTATTTGAGACCTTAACTATGCATTTGCTGAGATATTTTAGTTAGTATACTTTTTAAAAGAAGGGGATAATTGTTTAGCTATTTCTGTTATATTAGTAATATACACATGTTGACAGCATAAAATGTATTTTATATATATGCATTTCAATCCAGAGTCTATCTTCTGTATTAGGTGGTTTCTTGGAGCCTGTGCTTAGATGATACTTAACACCTGATATGTTTTCATGTCTGTACAGAAGTTCTCAGGAGTGACGCTGAGTAGCCCTTTCAACACATACCAGTCAGCTGCTAAAAAAGCAGAAATCCGTTCCTCATTAGTTGAAATTTTTGCTAAATTATTTTGAAATTTCATGTTCCATGCTCCATCTTTTTTCTGTTGTGGTTTTTTTTTTTTTTTTTTGTAACAGTAATGAGATGCATGTCTAATTAAAACATTAGACAACTTTCAAGTGCTTCAGTGGGTCATAGATCAGGTACCACATACATATGAAATTATCTCAGCAGTTTCAACAATGTAATTTACTCCAGTGCTTCCAAACGTCATCTTTTTTACGGAATTCTGTAATTTCTTCTATGAAGTTATGGTTGTCAGCAGTTTGATGTGAAAATGGTGAGAACTGTATCACTTGCTTTGCTTTCCTGGGTTTTCTGAGTATTTTGAAATCTTAAATGTCTTCCTGGTATCATGAGCTCATTGTTTCTCATGTAAGGCTTCAGTGGTGTCTGATTATTTTCATGGCTACAAATGCCCTCTATCCATGCTTACACAATCTTAAACCTGTATTTAGAAATATGGAAGTAATTGTGAAGAAAATGTTTCAGTAATAATACTTTTTTAAGAAACAAAGAATTAAAAAATACTTTTTGTTTGCCTTGAAGCAGTTCTTCATCTTATACTGCTCTTTGATGCTGTCAAATGACATTTTTATATATAACAAGATGTTAAGCCAGCTCATATTTGTACCCAGTGAAAGCCTATTTCCAAGTAATATATTTTGCCTTAATTGGTTTACTCCATAAATCAGTTGAATAAATGATTTTCCTACAGGATTGTATCCATTTTAGAGGTTTATTTTTTAATATAGGTGATGAATATATGTTTATTGAAATGATTTTTGCATGGTTAAATTATGAATTTGGCACATACTTAAATGCCTGTCTTGTCTGAAGAAACCCCCAAACAAACAGAATCTGACTCTTGTGGTCTTGAGATCTCTTGGGAGCACTTCTTTGTATCATAAACTAGGAGGATGATACAGGGACTTCTGTTTGTCATTTTTTGCTAGTCATCTTCACTTTTATTGTAGTTTCAGTTTGCAGTGTATAATATGTTGAATGCTGCCCTTTTATCCTCTGCTTGCAGCATCCTCCATGATGCAAATGAAGAGGACATGGAATCATCAATAGGTTTATATGCCCTGGCCTAAGTTAAAATTAAAACTGAAGAAACTGAAGGAGAATTTGTGTTTTCTTTCTCTTTCCTGGCCTTGGTCTTCACTGGTTTTCAGTGGTGGTAAGAGTGGAGACAGAAGGCAGCTTCTTGTTCTTGCAGCATCTGGTTCATTTTGGTGACATTGGCCCAGCATTCCAGGTATCTTGCATGGCTGCTAAAGTGGCATTTTCCAAGGCTGCCTTAGCCTGCCTCAGAGAACTTTTGCATCTCTTTTCTCCTGTAAAAACTTGCTTGCTTTATGCCAAAATGAGAGTGTCTGCACACTCTTCTCTCTGCGTGCTTTCTCCATGTGGTTGGATGCTGGGATATGACATGGTCAAGTGAAGCGGTCTTTCTCCATTCAGAATCTCTGGCTTGATAAAGATCTGTTGATGTAGTTTTGACAGCTCACCCAAGAATAAAAATGGCTTATCTTGATAACTTTATTGAGTTTCCTTCCTTTACTGAGCATTTCTTGTTTATGTATTAAAAAACCCCACCCATCCTCATCTAAAAGCCAGGAGTTCAGCTTCTTCTCTGAGAGGCCAAGGAAAGGAAAAATGTCTGCAGTATGCTCTGGAATGCTAATAAAATTTGAAATTACTTCCTAAGTGAAGGCCTTTCTTAGGGTCTGAGTTGGCATGGGTGAATTCTGGAGCAAGTTAAGACGACATTCAGCTTTTTACCATCTGCTGGGCTGTAATGTGGGCTGTAATGGGAGGAGGAAATTTGGCAGGTAGGACACTAACACCCTGTGTTAAGCTTATATTGGAATCAGCATAGAAAAGCAGGTATCAGAACACATTTGGAAATGTAAGGACAATTCTTGACTGCTAGTCATCACTGTGGATACAGCTGCAGAAGCCATTTCTGCTGCTTTATGAATAGGTACATTTGCTCAAATATAGGAGCATGAACAAAAATCAGGAAAGCTCCCACATTTGAAGACAGAGCATATCAAGGACTGTTATAAATGGTCACGGGGATACCTCCATAAGGAAATTGACCAGTTATTGCTACTTGCAGTCTTTTATTTTGAATTGCTGTTGTAGTTGTTTTGTTTATCATTTGTAACAAGTGGTACTGACGGCGATTTTCCCATGACCATGGCTAGTTTAGTACTCGACGTTTTAGAGGTACTTGCCTCAGCAAGGAAGTGCACATCGATAAATATTTTTGTTAAAAGAACATATTTTGGCCTGACCCACTTCTATTGTAGTTTCTACAATAGTAGAAGAAGTAGTCAAATGTAAAATCTCTGTAATAGCCAGGGAGCAGAAAGCCAGGCTGTGAGAGGTGGTTTGCAACTGTAGGTAAGCCAAAACGTAATAATAACAGCAATGCTCTGTTATGGTGTTGGTGATGCTGATGTTTTTTGCTGCACATCTTTGTAATGATCCTGTAATTTCATTCACTGCCAGTGTGTGATCAGTTCATTTCCCTGGGGCTGGAATGTGACAGATGGTTGCACCAGCATGTCTCAGCATTGCCTAATCACCATTTCATGACTCTTGACAAAGATGTTCTGGTTAAAAACCTTCACATGCCTGCGTGCAAGCCACAATATCTATTTTGTCCCCTAGACCACCATTTTTTTAAAGTAAATTCTAAATAGACACAGCCAAATTCTCTGTGTTTGCATTAAATTGAAGGAGATCTTCATGATCTTCAAACAGGCAGCCTTTAAAATGTTGGCGATAGATAGCTCATTACCTCTGCTGTTGCCTGGTGCCCTGGGTAGCAACATTTGCTGCTTTTGTGCAGCCCGGCTCATGCTAAGTGTTAAGTGCACTCTTTGTTGCCATGGTTTAAGCCCAGCCAGTAACTCTCCCCACTTCTTCCTCTCTCTGCTCCCAGAGGGATGGGGAGGAGAATCGAAAGAATGTAACTCCCATGAGCTGACATTAAGAGCAGTCCAGTAACTAAGGTATAACACAAACCACTGCTACCACCAATAATGATAAGGGAAATAGCAAGGGAAGAGAATAGAACCACTCACCACCCACCGATCGATACCCAGCCTGACCAAGCAGTGATCTTGCCCTTCCGGGTAACTGCCCCCAGTTTATATAGTGGGCATGACATGCTGTGGTATGGAATACCTCTTTGATTAGTTTGGGTTAGGTGTCCTGCCTCTGCTTCCTCCTGGCTTCTTGTGCCCCTCCTTACACATCAATGCACCAGCCACTAAGGAGAAAAATGACTGCTACAGCTGAACCCAGGGCATTTGTAGATGTCAAGGCAGTGACTCTTTAAGATGCGCTATGTCAACTGCCCTACAGTTAAAAACTTGTCGCATGTACTTTCTGTAACAAGTTACTCCTAGTGGCCATTATCAAGCTTTCCCCCTTGTCGTAGGAGTTTTGGGTAGTTTTCATTGTCAGTGGGCTTAAGAAGTTATGATTTTATTTATTCTTTTTAATAAAAGTACTCAGTTTGGTCCAATTCACAAGAAGTAACGCCCTCAAGAGAAGGTAATGTTTAAAAGAAACTAAGCAGAAAATGTAATAGGATGGCTCAGCTGAGGAATATCCCCACAAATATTCCTATGCAGTGATAAGGCTAAAAAGTTTTATGGGCTGAGAGGTTCCTAGAAGCGGAATGAATGAATTGTGAAAGTTGGACCTGACTGCATGACTGGAAACCTGGGATGCCAGAAATGAGAAAGGCCGGCTTCTCAAAGGTGTGCTGCAAGCATTCTGTTTCACTCAGTTTGCCTGCCTGTGTGGTTCAAAAAATGAGCGTTAAGGAGAGATTGCAATATTTATACTTAGTTTTGTGGTGTTTTCCCAGTATTCTGGTCCCCCTGGTCAGTATACCTGTTCTGTAAAAAAAAAAACCCCAAAAACAACAACAAAGTATGCTCTGTATTTTTAGACGTATCTGTAAGCTGCTTAAAAGTAATGCAACAGAGGCCCAAGCTGAAAGCTGTGCAAAAAAACCCAAACTGTAATATCCTCAAAAAGAGGAACAAGTGCCTACCAGCTGCAGGTGTACCCATGCAACAAAGTGGGCATGGGGTGGCAGCAGAGATGAGCCTACATGTGCTGATTTTATTCTAGTTAGTGTAGATGACAAAAGAAGGGAAAACAGGGCTGTATTTTGGCTCTAGATACTTTTGTACTCATTGATACACTGCAGTGAAATCCTTGGCACTGCTTTTTCAAAACACTTGCCAATTGTGCCAAGGTGCAGGTGGCAGAAGCGGGGCTGTGTTCTGCATTCCCACCGTCAATAACAGCAAATAATATTACTCTTTCCAGCTTCTTAATATAGAAGTACTTTCTACCACAGATACACTGGCATGCACTCTTTACAAGATTAGATAGGTGAATTTTAGGCATGCTGTCACTAATAATGATTCTAAAGGAGAGTGTGACAGGGTTATCAGTAGAGAAGGGCTGGAAATTCAAATATGCAAAAACTGCTTTGCTCAGATGAAACCTTTTTTTTTCTGCATTTCATTTGCATAGAGTCAGTGGTCTGGACAGATTTTGAGTTAGAAAGTATATAATTATCCCTATCGCAGCTCTTATGCTGTGGCTTTAGTCAGACTGACTTGACAAGGAGCTGTACTGTACTTACGCTGTAGTGGCTTTAGGGTGGTGAAGAGCCCTGTTGGTGGAGGTCTCTGCCCCTGCAGATCCTCTAGCATAATAAGCTCTCTACTCACAATCAGCTGATGTGACCTAGGGCTGCTCTCACACTCTGTTTTGGCTGTAGCTAGGCTGGGTTGAAAAGTTGCTGCAGTGGGCCTGGCCTCAGTTTTTTTCATCACAGCACCATTAGGAATGGCACAGTTCTGTTGGAAAATTCCCCACACATTTGTTGAAACTAATCCGATAATTTTCACACTGCTGCCCCTCTCAAGGGTTGCCATGAACATCTGTGAAAAAAGGATGGAGCATGTGGGGCCTGCTGAAACAGCAAATGGAGATTGGTGGAGCATATTGATCCAAAATGAGAAACAAAACACCCTCGATGGCTGCTCCTGTACTTTCCAGAACGTTCTCCTTTAACAAAAGGATTTTAGAAATGCCTTCTAATACCAGTCTTCTCTTTTAGACGCATGCTCAATTTGGTAAAGAGAGTGAACAATGGCAGAAGAAGTCAGTCAAAGACAAGAATGAAATATGAAAGGATGTGAAAGCAATCAGGAGAGTACCACAGAAGTCAGAATGTTTAGCAAGCAGTGCAGGAGAAGGAACAGCATCTTTACTGTCTTCTGTTCAATGTCCTGGCCACAGGAGTTGGTAGAGGGTGGCTGAAAAATTGTATGGGAATATGGAATAACTTGTGTGTGTCTGCTACTGCTGACTTTGGCCAGCTTTAGACCACCAACACATATGTGCCAAGTCTTGCAGTAGAGATGTTTAGCATACAATGAAGTTTACAAGTTGCCTTTGAAGTTTACCCTTGCATGCAGCATAGGGTAGGTTTTTCAGTGAGCAGTTTTTCAAATGGGAGGATTTTTAAGAATTACATATTTAAATTTGTGAAAAAGAGAATTTTAGTAAAATTCTTACTGATATTTGTATAAGTAACCTTTTTTTTTTTCTTAGTAGTATGATCTGATGTAGTGTTTGCAGATGGAAAATAAGTTTACTGCTGAATGGTGTTCAGTCTGAAGGAACTCTGTGGGTCTAGTTTACTGTTACTTTTAATAATAATTTTTAACCAAGAAAATTAAAAAAAAAAAAAGCTAAAAAGCTTTTCTTCATTTCCTACTGTTAGCAGACACTGGAGCAAGTAGGAAATGAGAACGTTCTGTACCCCATCAAAAGCTGTCAACAGACTTGAAAACCAGAATAAAATAGTTTCAAACTTGGTTAATTTTCCAGTGTGGAGTTTAACTTTAATAATTAAATCTGTCTGTAATCTATCAGGAACTCGTATTTTGACATCCTGGATCTTGGAGCCATTTGGCTTTGACTTTATGGCTCTGTTCCATCCATAGTTATTCAATTAAGGAAAAACTATTTGCTTAAGAGTAATGGTGTATAGAGCTACAGTTCATAAAAGGAAAAAATGCCGATTGGTTTGATTTATCATCTCATTGTTCAGAATTTTGTTAAAGCTTTAGATATTCCAGCCAGTTGACTTTGTAAAGCAGTCAGACTATGACCTGGCAATTAAATTGTGACTACACAGTGCTGCAGAGGAGTAACAGATTCAAAAACACTTAACTGCTTCTGAGCTAACACAGTGATTTTTCATATACTAGAATCAAAGTAGATGGAGCTTAAAAAGGTTACAGACCAGTTTAAAATATTTTGTGCTGAGAAAGTGATTTCCAGCTGTTTGCATTCTACAAGTGCAAGTGAACATACCCATGGACTTCCCTGTAAAATAAGGAAGTACCTCATATAGTAGGGAGAAAGCAGATGAGTTGGCTTTCCAAAGTTATATCGGCTTTCTTTAATAGAAAATTACATAGAATT